GTGCCTCACCCATGGGAGGCAAGGGCTCCACCACTGAGCTACAAACCCAGCCCCCAGGGCCATGGCCTGACTTTTGACTGACAGCAGGGTGACATCAGACTTTCAAGTCCCCACTGTCATGGCAACACTAGGTCACTTTAGCCCACGCTGACCAGTTCTAATTGGATTCTTAACCAGACATTTTTTAAAATATTCATTTTAGTTGTAGATGAATATAATACCTTTATTTATTTACTTATTTATATGTGGTGCTGAGGATCAAACCCAGTGCCTCACACAGGCTAGGCAAGCGCTCCACCACTGAGCTACAACCCCAGCCCCTTAACCATACATTCTTGCAGATTTTATGGTTAGGAAGAATTAATCCTTATCTCCCAGAGTTTCAGATCACAAAAGTCTCCTCCTTCAGTGGAACTTGGGTTCCTCTTATCAGCATTATTTTGGGCCTGCATTTCTCCTGCAGTGAACAGGTAGTTTGCTGAGGAATGTGATATATCCTGTCCACTAAGATCAGGCASGGCTGCAGGTGAATTGCTCCTTAGAAAGAAATCATGTGGGGGTCAGCACTGTGAGCCCATTTTATAGAATTATTCTCTTAACCTTGTGTTCCCACCATTCACATCTGTGTACCCTAACAGTGTTATGGTTAATGGGCTTAAATTTTACATAGTAATGTGTCCTTAACCTACTACTTGTTTAACTCAAATTTCCTCATCCACAAACCTGAAACAACATAATAATCACTTTGATATCAGAATTAAGTGGAACAAAGAGTGTAAAGTACCAACCATAAAGATAATATTCCATAAATACCAACTGTATTATTATAATTATCATTATTATCACTGGTTTGGTGGTACTGGGGATCAAACCCAGGGCCTCACACATGCTAGGCAGGTGCTTTACCACTGAGCTATATCCCCAGCCCTTTTATATTCTGAAACAAGRTCTTTCTAAGTTATTCTGGCTGGCCTTCAACTTGGGATCCTCCTGCCTCAGCCTTCTGAGGAGCAGGGCAAGCCTGTGCCATTGTGCCTGGCACACACCACCTATTAAATCTTACTCTGACCATCAGTATCTGGACTCATGTTCCCACGGGCTATGCCCACGGCCTGGTGTTTGTGCACATGTGAGTGCGGGTCTCAGTGTCTGACCACATGTGTGCCCTGGGACATGGCTTACCCTGACCCCTCCCCACACTCCTTTCCTGGGCAGTTGCCACCTTGATGCCTTGTTGGCTGACAGCCACTGCCCCCTCAGCCCTCCCGCACATGGTGTTTAGGGGAGGGCACCAGGGCCACCTCCAGGCCTAGCTGGAGGCTCCAAAACACTCTTAAGCCACCCATTTTACCAGGCCCTCGCTGAGCTCAGTTCTACCTGCTCTTCAGAGAGAGCCTCCAAACTCTCCTTGCTGCCTTAGGCTACCTGCAAGATCAGCACAGAACCTCTCTCAGTCTCACTGGGAGAATACAAGTCTCCTGGTTGGCTCCTTCTAAATGTCCCTGTGTCCCTGTTACCCAACTTCTTGCCCTTTCCTCTCCTTTGAGGGAAGCGTGAGCTCTCTTCCAAAGCCAGTGCTCCGCTTGGGCACAGACCCATCCCCTTTCTCCCTRCTGGCACCTTGCTCCGCCAAGAGTCCCCTCGCTGCTGCAGCCTCTGCATTCCCTTCTTTGCTGCCTCCCATCACGGTTGACTCTCCTTCCCTTAAAAACATGCAATTTGCCTCTTTCAAAGTCACCCTCCTGTCCTGCTAGGGCACTGCTTAGAAGTGCCACTTCCCCTTGGCATATAGCCTGGCCAGGCCCTGCCTCTCTGTCGTCCCAAACCAGGAGGCCATCAGGGCCTTGACAAGGAACTGGAGGGAAATCACTCTGGCACCTCTCCCCACCCTCCCTCCCCATGGCAACAGCCTCTGGCTCCCCTGGCAGTCGGGTTTCAGAGCCCTTGCACTCCTCCCGTCCCCCGTCTCAACGTGGAGTGCACACTTAGTGTGCTAAAGACACAGAGGATCACTAGACACACTCCCTGCCCAGGAGCTGGCCACCTCCTTTCCCATCCCCTTTCTGATTGTGCCCTCCCTGGCTATTTCTTTCTTCCAGTCCCAAAGTGTTTCTTGGAATGCTGTTCTGACCTTCCTTCTCCCCCAGCAGTCACTGGGTTCAGACCACCACCCCAGGCAAGTAACTCCCAAACCACTTTCCCAGCCCAGCCCCACCCAGCTGCTTTCCTCCTGRACCTTCCCACCTGCCTGCCGGCTGCTTCCTGCCACCTCCACCTGTCCCCTCCCCTCCCAGTCTCTGGATGGCGCCTGCCCTCCCCTGGGGGGTCCAGTCTTGCTCTACACCAGCTGCCTCTAGGTTTCCTGGTTTGCTTGCTTCCAGTCCTCAGCCCCTGCCCAAGTCTAGACCTTTACAATCCTCTGCTTAAATACTACYGCGGCTCCCTGTTGTTCTCCCTGTGGACTGTCCAGTCCAGCTCCAGGGCTGCAGCTAGAGTCATTTCCCCCAAACAGTGTATGGATCCTGTCACTTCTTTGGTTAAAAAAAAAACTAAGTTTTTACTTCTATGATCCCTCTTTCCCATAGAACATAATCTAATTTCAGTGTGGGATCCTCTTCCTGTCCCAAAAGTATCTCAAGCTCCCGAGCTGGACCATCTAGCTATATCTGCCATCCCCTAGACAGACCCATTGTGTCCCCATGTTCCACCTGTGCTCATGTCACTTTCTCTGTGAAAATTTCTTTTTTTTTGGATGACCTCAAACTTGACCTCCTCCTCCAAGGAACCTTATTTCCCCAGCCAATACCCAGGCAGGAGTAATCTCTCTCCCTGTCTCCTCCTGGTCTGTGCTGTCTTCCTGCACATGTGATTCTCTATCTTCCACTGGAGCTATCTGCAGTCATGCCTTCTTTCTGGAACAGCAGCTAAGTTGCTTTGACTCATCTTCCTGTTCTCCTTGAGGCTCATCAAAGAGCATCATGCTGTGCTTGGTGCAGAATAGGTGCTCAGAAAGGATTTGTTGAGTGGATGGATAAAACAATACATGCCCGGGTGGGTGGGCGGGGGATGGATAAGCATTTGCTTCTAGGGCTGAGCCAAATGTATAGCTCCTGTGACAATAGCTATTAGCAATAGTAAAAATCAGAGCAGAGTGGGAAGACTGTACAGCTTTTCTAAAGTGTACGAGAATGGATTTCGTTGCTTACACCTAGTTAAAAGTGTCTCACAGTGAGCACTAAGAAGACAAGGGGAGGATGAGGCTCGGAATGGAGTCTTCTCTCTTTTTTAATCTTTGGTATTTGGGGTTAGTCTCACTGAATTTCTGAGACTGGCCTTGAACTTGCAATCCTCTGGCTTCAACCTTCCAAGTTGTTGTGATTAAAGCATGCACCGGCAAGCCTGGCTAAATGGGAGTCATTCCTTGAGAACCAGATGCCTAGTGTGTGTCAGGTGGCCAGAGTCTTGTCTTGGAGGTTCTAGGATTCCAAGAAGACTTGAGAAATTGAGCAGATTCTAGTCTGTACCCATGGAACACAGAATAGACACCATGAATTAGGCCATGCTGAGAAGAGTGATTTTGAGTGCCTTGACCCTGGACAAGTCTTTTTACCTCTCTGAGCCTCAGATTCCTCATCTGCAGAATGGGTCTACCATATAGGATTGTTGTGGTGATGAGACAGCTCTCCTCGTCGTTGTTGCCCTCCAGAGTTAGGAGTCAGGCAGCGTGTGATCCACTGCTTAGTTGCATGGCTCTTTTTTAGGTCCACTGAAATTCAGAGATGGGTTTGCCAGTGAGGTCTAGAAGAGTGGGGAAGGGGATTTGCAGATGAACCTGGAAGCTTGGGTGGCACTGGGGAGGCAGAGATGTGGGCAGAGGTGTGCCAGGATGTGAACTAAGGCCTGGAAGTGGGAAAAAGGACTGCTTGTGTGGCAGGTGGGTGGTTTGGTGGATGGCCTGATACAAAGTACAGGTGAAAAGATTAGGGGCACCAATAGCCCCTCTCAGTCCTTTGTGACTGTTGCCAGGAAGGGCTACAGAAAACCCCCCTAAGTCATCAGTCCATGAGGAGGTATAACTAATAATAGCTACTCCTTTACATGGAATGTATCATATTTTACACACTCTACTCTTATTACTTACATGATACTCATAGCAATCCTGTGACTCAGGGATTATTACTACTCCTCGTTATATAGATGAGAAATATGAAACACAGGAGGGGTAAATAACTTGCCCAAGGTCACACAGCATCCAGAGTAGCAGAGTTCCTCAAGCTGAGGCACCCTGGCTTAAGAGCAGTTCCATGCTTGTAGCTACCACGTTAACCTCCTTGTACTTTCTATAGCTGACAGCTCTCTTCATTTTGTGGCTTATTGCCAGCATATGGATAGGCAGCTCTGCTGGCACTGCCACTACCACCCTGGACCTGGCTGGAGACTCCCTGCGTGTTAAGGGGTCCAGTGCAGGGAGTGGGGGGAATTGCTGGGGGAGCAGGGATGTGGCTCGGCCCGAGGATGCCTTACCAAATGCCTCCGAGGAGGACTGGTTGCTGCACCAGGAAYGGGGGTGGGGGGTGTGGGCTCCCTCTGGGGCAAGCCGCCTTCCAGCCAGTGGCCTGACCTCGTGCACTTGGCTCCACAGCCCCTTCCTGCCCTGCGTCCACTCTCTCCTGAGTATGACTAAGTCCCTCTGCGTTAGAGCATCCCCGGGAGAATGGGGAAAGGAGACCGACAGGGAGTGGGCCTAGCGGCCAGAAGCCGGGACTCCGGCGGGGGCAGGGCACGGCAGGTGTGAGCGCGCAGGGGATGTAAAGGCCACCCGGCACAGGGAAGCCGGCTGACCCCTGCCGTCATTTCCTTTGGAGCCGGAGAACAATGGCTCAAAAACAAGTGCAGCGCGTCCGCTCGGCCGGCGGGTCCGCACGCGCGCCGGGTCGGGGCCGAGGGAACGGAAAGCTGAGGCCAGCGCCGCGGAGACCCGAGCCTAACGGCCCTCCTGGCGCCGCCCTCCCTGTCCTTCCAGACCTGCCTCGCGGTCAGCATCCTGGAGAGTCGCCGAGGGATGAGGATGCGACAGCGCGGGGGGACGCCCTTGCTGCGGGAGCCGGGCCGCGCCTGAGCCCTGTCCTCTCCCCGCGCACAGGCCTCTGCGAGTGAGCGGCGGCGTGGCGAGCTCCGGCCGCATGGAACGGCTGCAGAAGGTGCGCGGGCTGCACCCGCCCGGGCAGGGGGCGCAGGGCCGGGTGGGGGCGGGCTGCCCGCGAGGGCCAGCTCGGGAGTCGAGGGTGCCACCTGGTGGCCGCCCGCCGCGCAGCACGCCGGGTCCCCAGAGGCCTAGGGCAGACCCGCGCCCCCGCCCTCGCACCCACGCACATGCCCACTCGGCCGCCTTCTCGCTCTCCCCAGCAACCTCTTACCTCCCCCGGGAGCGTCAGCTCCTCCCGAGACTCGAGTGTGCCCGGCTCTCCCTCCAGCATCGTGGTGAGTACCCCTGTCGGCCACCAGCAGCCGCAGGCCGGGAGGAGGGAGGGCGGCACCCGCTTCGCTTCACTCACAGGCCCCCACTGCTGGTCCTGCCGGTGCTTGGCAGGTGGAGAGAAGCCAGAGAGCCAGGGAAGGTTCCCCACTGCCCCTGGCAGGGTCTAGCCTTGTTGCACTCAAAATGCTAGTCAAAGGACCATCCTGTCTTTTAAAACTATCTGTATCCCCAAACTTAAAACAATGAGCTATCAACTTGTGAGAGTGGCCATCTAAAATGGCTGCCCACTTTCTTGGCAACAAACTAAGCCCAGCCAGCAAGGGTGGTGCCCTAGGTGAGGCTTCCAGCACATCTGTTCCATTTACCCCATTTCACTTCAGGCCAAGATGGATAACCAGGTACTGGGCTACAAGGACCTGGCTGCCATCCCCAAGGACAAGGCCATCCTGGACATTGAGAGGCCTGACCTCATGATCTATGAGCCCCACTTTACCTATTCCCTCCTGGATCATGTGGAGCTTCCCAGAAGCAGAGAGGTGAGTGGGGTTAGGGACTGGCTCCCCAGCCCGCTGGCTGGTGACTGGAATCCCTCTGGGTCCTCTTTCCTGGAAGCCAGACTTCACCCAAGGAGAAAGGGACTGAGCTTGGGAATCAGGTGGGAATCATGGAATCGACCTGAATGACCAACCAGCATTTGGCAGAGAGCAGGCAGAGCTCAAGGTTAGGGTGGGGCCACATGTAGAGAGCTGGGGGGACCACATGTAGAGAGCTGGGGAAGCCACACTTGAGCAGCGTCTTAGAGAGGGGTTGCATGGGAAAAGGGTGTGAGTAAGCAGCAAGAACAAAATGTGTAGAAAAAGCTTGGAGCTCTGAACTTAGAGGCTGGAAGTCCTAACTCAGGGCCCATTATGAGGTTGGGGCCTCTGTTTCCCCTCCTGTAACACACAGGTGACAGATAGCTCTGTTTGTCCACCCACAAGATGCCTGAGGCAATACATGGGCAGGTACTTTGTCATTTGTATTTAAGAAAGGGACAGGGTCATGGCTGAGCAGTGAACTGGGGCCAGACCGTGGAGAGAGATTTAAATATCTGGCCAGGGAGCCCAGATTTCCTTCCTGGGTGCTTGATGGCATTGTCCCTGCCATTCCTTGTTAGGCTCTGAGGACAGGGCCTTAGCTGGTTGGCAGTTGGCCCTCAGAGCACCGAGCACACTGTTCCAAGATGGCGGGCTGCTTCATGCTTCCTATGGAAAGACTCAGGACTGGGTCCTGAGAACACTGGGAAGAAGGATGGAAAGCCCGAGCTTGGAAATGGCAAGGATCCCAGAGAGAAGAGAGTGGGCTAGGGAAGTGTGTGGAATTGGGTGGAGGATGAAGTGGCCCCTTTGAGGTTCCAGGGATGAGGGTTGAATCCCACCCTTGTGACTCTGACCAGCCCCCTCTCCATTCACAGCGCTCTCTGTCGCCCAAATCCACATCCCCCCCACCATCCCCAGAGGTGAGTCTGTCCCACCCTGAAACTTGCCCAGCCCTGCTCTGATGGGGCCCCAGCTCCCCTCCCCCCAGATATCCAGATTGAGCTCTGCAGAGTACCGGGGATGACAGACTCAGCAGATCCCAGCCCGACGCTGGCCAACTCTGTGCCCATCTGTCTGTCTGACCCAGGACTCGTGTAACACTCTCCCTGGGCAGATGGAGTCCTTGAATGCCCTTCCTCTGCCACAGCGTCGCTCTGGGGCTGGGATGTGGGCTGCCTGGGTAGGAAGAGGGAGAAAGGTGAGAGGTGTCCCTGTGGGCCCTAGGGGCTAGGTGGGGGACCTGGAAGCTGCACACTTCTGTTCTGCAGGTGTGGGCAGAGAGCCGGACCCCTGGCCTCATCTCTCAAGCTTCAGTCCCGAGAACCACGGGAACCCCCCGCACCAGCCTGCCCCACTTCCACCACCCTGGTAGGTGTGGTGGCCACACGGCTGCATCTTCTCCTCGTCACTTCCCTTCTTCTCAAACCCCTATTCTCAATTCCCTGCTCTTGGGGATGTGAGCTCACCACCGACCTGGCTGGACCCCAGGATATCAGGACCCAGGCAGAGCTGCCATGACAGTGGGCCTGTCCTGTTTCCCTCCTCCCCAACCCCCCTGAGGGTCAGTCCAGGACCTCCAGTTCTGTCTGGGCTCTTGGTCCTGTCCCATTTGTCCCTTCCACTTGTTTCCACTCTCTAGCGTCTCCTGCCATCAGCATGTCTCCCTCCCTTCTCATCTGCTCTTGTTCCTTGTCACAGAGACCACCCGCCCAGACTCCAACATCTACAAGAAACCACCCATCTACAAGCAGAGAGGTGAGGGTCCCCCAACTTCCCAGGGTCCCCCTTCCTGCCACATGCTGGGGGGCCATGGCGTGTGCCGAGGGGTGCCTGGGAGGGGACAGGAGATTCACCCTTCATGACATCATGTGATATTTGTCCTGTGCTCCTTGCAATCCATTGCTTCTATATCCAGGAGCTCACAGGTGTGAGGGGAGAGGTGCGGGAGCTGGGGGCACACTGGCCAGGTGGGGTGGGCTGTGTGGGTGCCAACTCTGGCCTCTGTCGGCAGAGTCCATGGGAGGCAGCCCTCAGAGCAAGCACCTCATCGAGGACATCATCGAGTCGTCCAAGTTCCCCGCAGCCCAGCCCCCTGACCCCAACCAGCCGGCCAAGATCGAAACCGACTACTGGCCATGCCCACCGTCGCTGGCTGTTGTGGGTAGGAAAAGCTGGGAGAGGGGAGGCTGGGACCCCTCCTCACTAATCCATCTTGGTCCCTATTAAAGGGCCGTGAACCCAGTTCCACCCCACCCCACCCCATGCCCTGTGGCTTTTAGACCTACGTGAACTGTCCCCACCCCACTGAGCACTGCCCCTGCTCCCCTGTGGCACTACGGTTGGTCATTCCTCCCTGTTCCCTTCATTGATCTGGTCACTCAATAGACATTTCTTAAACTTCTGCTGTGACCCAGGCCCTGTGATAGGAGTTCTGGAAGAGAGAAACATAAACGAGAGGACTTGTTTCCAGGAATTTAAGCCATGTTTTTTTTCAATCCCTGTTTTCTTTCCTACCAGGGATTGAACCCAGAGGTACTTAACCACTGAGCCGCATCCCAGCCCTTTTTATGTTTTACTTAGAGACAGGTCTCRCTGAGTTGCTTAGGGCCTTGCTAAGTTGCGGAGGCTGGCTTTGAACTCGAAATCCTCCTGCCTCAGCCTCCCAAGGTGCTGGGATTAGAGGCGTGCGCCACAGCACCCAGCCTCCTGTGTCTGTTTTCTACCCAGCGTCACAGCAAGGGGAGGAAATGTTACTCTTACTTTGAATTTTTGTTTTTTTTTTTTTTGTAGTAGGGATTGAACCCAGGGGTGCTCTACTACTGARCTACATTTCCAGCCCTTTTTATGTATTTTTCTTTTGAGATAGGGTCTCACTAAGTTGTTGAAGGACTGCTAAGTTGCTAAGACTAGCCTCAAACTTGTTATCCTCCTGCCTCAGCCTCTCAATTTGCTGAGATTACAGGCATGTGTCACTGTGCCCAGCTTTATTTTTTATTTTTTTGAGTTATTATTACTATTTTTGGTGCTGGAGATAGACTTTGTGTATACTAAACACAGGCTCTACCTCTGAGCTACACCCCTAGCCTCTATTTAATTAAATTAATTACTTTATTAATTTATTAATTTTTATTTATTGTGGTCCTGGGGATTGAACCCAAGGCCTCATGCATACTTGACAAGTGCTCTACCACAGAGCCACCTCCCAGCCCCTGTATTTTATTTTTGGGGGGTAACAGGGATTGAACTCAGGAGCACCCAACCACTGAGCCACATCCCCAGCCCTATTTTGTATTTTATTTTAGAGACAGGGTCTCACTGAGTTACTTAGCACCTTGCTTTTGCTGAGGCTGGCTTTGAACTCACAATCCTCCTGCCTCAGCTTCCCCAGCTTCTGGGATAACAGGCATGTGCCACCGCACCCAGCTCTCCCTTTATTTTATTTTTTTAAAGGATTTATGGTTCTGAGCTTGGTGACACAAGCTCTAGTCCCACCTACTCCGGGGGCTGAGGAGGGAGGATTGCTTGAGCTCATGAGTTTGAAGCCAATCTGGACAATGTGCAATACTCCCATCTCAAAAAAAAAAAAAATTTTTTTTCTTTCAAATTAAAAAAATTTAAATAAAAATAAAAAAGAATTTGTAGCTCATCAAGAGCCATCCCAGTGCCATGTGCAGAGCCAGCCTCTGAGACACGCTTGTTGACCCCTGGCTGATTGGCTGCGCTGCCTCTTGTCTCCTAGAGACCGAGTGGAGGAAGAGGAAGGCATCTCGCAGGGGGGCAGAGGAAGAGGAGGAGGAGGAAGATGACGACTCTGGGGAGGAGATGAAGGCGCTCAGGGAGCGTCAGAAAGAGGAGCTCAGTAAGGTAGCATCTCGTGGCCCCTCGTCTTCTGGGGGACCGAGGTTCTGGTCCTGTAGCTAGTCCACAGGGTTCATGGCAGAAGAGCATCCCTGTCGAACCAGGAGAAATCCCTCTTCTTCCCGGGATTCCACGTGCTGCTTTTGAAGGGACATGGGACTTCTAGCTGCTCTAGGGGGATGTTAAAGCACCGAGGAGGGCGGGCCCACGGCACCAGGCTCAGCAGGATCAGCAGGCCAGGGGAAGAGAAAGGAGAGATGGGCGACTGGCCCAGGGAAGGGGAGAGAGTTGGGAGCCATGGAAAGGCTACTACCCCTGATATGGGCTTGGGCTTTGGCCATAGTGACATGGGACAGGGAAGTCACTGCAGCAGAGTTCACCTGAGTGCTTTGAAGAACCTAATGTGGCTGTGGGGAAAGAACAAGGGAGTCCCTGGGCCCCAGGGCACAACCCAGCCACCTGGGAAAACACTCTGGGCCTTGCAGAGGTGAGAGATGGGTACCTGTGTCTCAGCCTCATCTTCCACTTTCCTTCTTCAGGTTACTTCCAACTTGGGAAAGCTGATCTTGAAAGAAGAGATGGAAAAGTCGTTGCCTATCCGGAGGAAAACCCGCTCCCTGCCCGACCGGACACCCTTCCATACCTGTGAGTGCCGTGAAGGGGCTCAGAACCACCTGGCCAGACCCGGCCTGCACTGCAGTTGTCTGTTGAGTTGTGAGACACAGAAGGTGCGGGACCTGGTGTGGGTCAGCTCAGAACCACCTGGCCAGACCCGGCCTGCACTGCAGTTGAATGTTGAGTTGTGAGACACAGAAGGTGCGGGACCTGGTGTGGGTCAGCTCAGAACCACCTGGCCAGACCCGGCCTGCACTGCAGTTGAATGTTGAGTTGTGAGACACAGAAGGTGCGGGACCTGGTGTGGGTCAGCTCAGAACCACCTGGCCAGACCCGGCCTGCACTGCAGTTGAATGTTGAGTTGTGAGACACAGAAGGTGCGGGACCTGGTGTGGGTCAGCAGGTTTTGTTTCACTTAACCGACACTAACCGAGGGTCTGCCGTGCCCTGGGTACCGGGATATCACAAGTGAAGAAGTCCCGTCTCATCCTCTGGGAGCTTGTGGTCAATGGGGAACTGACATGGAACCTGGGGTTCTGGTACAGGTGGCAGGTGTTGGGACAGAGGGTGCAGTTGGGGTTTTGCGAGGACAGTGACAGGGCCTGGTGGCTAACCTGTGTCTTAAAGAGTGAGACAGTGAGACAGACACATGAGTGAGGAAGACCATCATCGCAGACATTGGGAACAGTGCACAGGCATGGGAAGGGACATGGAGCCTCCTGGCCTGCTCAGAGAACTGCCAGGAGCCAGGATTGCAGAGCACAGAGGAGCACGCAGTGAGGCCAAGAGACTGGCGAACCGGGGCCTTGAGTGCTGGGCTTTTGGTGACCCCAGGTTTGCCTGGACTTCCCTAGAGCATGGTGACTACAGAGAGGAGAGACCTGGGGACCCCAAAATGAGAACCGCCAGGCCTCCTCACAAAGGCTAATCTAAAAGCCACATAGCATTACTTCTGTTGGCCAAAGCAGGTCATGAAGCAGCTAGACATAAGGAGGGGAGATAAGCTCTGCCTCTTGATGCAAGGAACTTAGGGTTGTGTTGCAAAAGGCAGGCAGGATAGGCATTGATGGTCCCAGCCATCTTTACAAATGATCTGTCACCCTCTCTAGTCATCTGAGTGTGTTAGTCAGCTTTCCATCACTCTAGCAAAATACTTGAGGTAGCTAACTTTATAAATAAAAAAGGTTTGTTTAGTTCATAGTTCTAGAGGTTTCGGGGCTCACATCTTGCTTGCAGAGTACTGAGGTGGCACAGGGTTCACATGACAAGAGACGGGGGGTGCAGGTGTGCGTCTGTGTGTCTGTCTGGTTTCTCCCCCTCTTCTTATAAAACCTTCAGGATTCAATCATGGGGGTTCTATCCTGATGACTTATCTAATCCTGATCACTTTCCAAAGATGCCACCTCTGCACCTCATGGCTGGATTAAGTCTTCATCTTGTAGCACCTCACAATGAGGATTAGATTGCACCACAGCTTTAGGGGACACACTCAGACTGTACCCAAACCATAGTAGTAGGAGCAGCTGCAGATCTGCATGGGTCCAGGAAGGGGGGACGGATCAGAGGAGGACCTAGGAGGTGGAATGCCCTGTGGGGTGGGGAGGGAGGAGTAGGGCTTGTCTTAAGTCCTGGGTGACAGACTCAGAACTGAGATGACAAGAGGTAGGTTCCAGGGAGAGGAATGGCCTGGTTTCAGGAGGGTTGGGTTTGAAATGTCCTGAAGAGCGTGTAAGCAGGGACCGAGTTCGGCTGCACTAGGAGAGTGAGAACCTTCGGCTTGGAGGTGGTGAATTGGTGAGAAGATAAGACTGTGGGTGGAGGAGGGAAGGACAGGGCGCTCGGGCTTTGCCCTGGGGGACACCTCAGTTAGGATCCAGTGGGAGGGCTGGTTGAGAGCAGCATGGGAAGGGCGCGGTGCCGCGGCATGTGGGGGGCTGGCCTGGAGGGCCCCTCCTCTGAGGCGTGAGGACAGCTGTGGGGACAGGCCAGCTCAGGACTTGAGGTTGTCTGCTGTGCTTCTGTGTGAGGTGAGGGGATCAGGGAAGGGTGCAAGGTTTTACCTTGATGGCTGGGTTTTTTTGGGGGGAGCGGTGGTACTGGGGATTGAACCCAGGGGTGCTTAACCCCTGAGCCACATCCCCAGCCCTATTTTGTATTTTATTTAGAGACAGGGTCTCACTGAGTTGCTAAGTGCCTCTCTGTTGCTGAGGCTGGCTTTGAACTTGTGATCCTGCTGCCTCAGCCTCCCGAGCCACTGGGATCACAGGTGTGTGCCAGTGTTCKTGGCTTACCCCGATAGTTCTGCTGATCCACAGTATGGGGTTCTTCCTCCATGACTGGCAGTAGGAGGGCAGAGGTTGGGTTGATTCAAGATTAGTGTGTGTAAGGCAGGTGCCGAGGGCCAGGGAGGCCAGCACACTGCTGCAGAGGTGCCTGACCACAGGGAGAAGCTGAGAAGGCCCTGGCTGTGGGGAGGTAAGAAACTGGAGTCCTCTAGGAGATCCAGGAGCCAGGGTGGTGGGGTGGGACTGAGCGGGAGCTACAAACAAAGGCGGCTGCGGCCACCAAGTGGGTGTCTGACAGCTTCGAGGTACAGCCATGGTGACCGACAACAGGCTCTGGGGTGTGACCCTTTGTTTTTCTGGCACTGGAGATGGAACCCAGGGGTGCTTTACCACTGAGCCACATCCCTAGCCCTTTTTATAAAAGAGACAGAGTCTTGCTGAGTTGCTTAGGGCCTCACTAGGTTGCTGAGGCTGGCCTTGAGCTTGCAATCCTCCTGCCTCATTCTCTCCAGTTGCTGGGATTCTGGGTGGTGTGTGCTACCCGCTTGGCAGTTCTGATGAACAGAGGGAGAAGCCCCTGGGACTGGGAATTGAAGGACCTATAGAGTGACACGTGGCTAGGATGTGGAGAGTGCCCAGGATGTAGCACAGGGTGAGAAGTTCCAAAAGGCATCTTAGAAAACATGCACTCAATAGTCAAGGGCTGGAGAAAGGGGTAGACAGAAGGATGCTCCAGGTTGGATGTGCCCTCAGTGTTCTACCAGGTTCTTCTGCTCAGCCGAAAAAGAGCTTGTGACTTCCTTTTGGGCTTTGTGAAGTCGAATAGCCAACTACTACCTGAACGCCACTTTCAGCATGGACTTGTGCATGAACCATGGTCATGGGATTCTGTAGGTTACTGTCATATTTGATCACCCTTAACAGTTCTGAAGCATGACAGGCATGCCTTTCTGACTAATGGTAGCCTCAGAACTGTCAGTTCCAAACATAAGTAAAGAGCCCAGCACAGTGGCACATGATTGTAATCCCAGCTACTCAGGAGGCTGAGACAGGAGGATCACAAGTTTGAGGCCAGTCTTGGCAATTTAGCGAAACTCTAAGCAACTTAGTGTCTCAAAAAAAAAAAAAAAGAGTAGGGATGTGGATCAGTGGTAGAGCTTCCCTGGGTTAGTTCCCCTGTAACAAACAAAACAAAACAAAACAAAAAAAAACAAACAAGCACAAAATATCGGTAAGCATCTAGAAGTGATTTGCAGTGAAAAATCTTCCTATGTGTTTGGCAGGTTGAGATGGCACCAGTTGGTCGTGGTATAAATGTGTACTTACTGCAAGAGTGCACAGCGCTTCAGGGATGAATGGTGATTGCAAAAGCTGATGATTTCCCACACTGGTTGAGGATTTCTTATCTTAAATGCTTGGGACTAGAAGTGTTTCAAGTTTTGGAGATTCCCTCCCCTTCAGATTTGGGAGTATTTGTACAAACTTTACTAGCTCAACACTCCTGATCCTAAAATCTGAAATCAGAAATGATGCTACGAAATACAAAACCTTGTAAGCATGATGTCAGCAAAATTTTGAAGAACTGAAAAAAAAAATAATAATCACGGTATTTTTATTCCCTTGTCAAGATTTGCTTAGAAATGGGCATTCGAGTTTATTCTGGTCAACACAAAGTGAGGGGGAGTTTGCCTTGGAAAAAAGTGTGACCACTCTCATAAAAAAGGTACAAAGAGAAACTAGTTCTTCTTCTTCTTCTGGAGATGTCATGCCTGGATGTTGTACCTAAAACTGCTTTTGAAGAATTTCAAAATTTTAAAGAATTTCAAAATTTCAGATTAGGGATGCTAAACTTGTCCAAAAAGAATCCTTAGGTTCCCCCCTGGGCGTGTTGGTGCAGGTCTGTAATCCCAGCATCTCGGGAGGCTGAGGCGGAGGATCACAAGTTCAAGGTCAACCTTGGCAACATAAGGAGACCCTGTCTCAAAATAAAAAATAAAAAGGGCTTGGGATAGCTCAGTGGTAGATTGCCCCTGGGTTCAATTCCYAGTAGCAAAAATAAGTAAATTAATAAACAAAATAAAAGAATGTTTTTAGGAAGATAGCTTCTTACAGTTTCAAATCTACCGAGGCTGAACAAATTTATGCATGCATATGTATTTGTTTATTTATTTATTAAGCATGGGAGGAGACTTTACTCAGGACCCTCATAATAGGTATCAAGACCTTTGCAAAAGGATCTTGGAGTGGAGGAGAGTGACTGGGTTCAACTCTAAATGCAGTGTGAGCAAGCAGGTGCTTACAGCAAGGAGCATGGTGTGTGTGTGTGTGGTGGCGGTGGAGCAGGGTGTCAGTGGCTAGAAAATGACTAAGAAGGAAGATCAGGGTGAAGGGAATTCTGGCTAATTTGACCATACAGGATTCTTTTTAGAGACAGAATAGGGTGACCAGACATCACCCAGGGAAGGTAGCAGGTGAGGAGCCTGACCAGAAGTGGAGGATGAACAGGCATTGGGGAAGCCTGTGTTCTTGCTAAACTGACTGAGCAGGATTCTTTGATAGCCCTGGATTTTATAGGAAAATGCACCCACCAGCCAGGTGTGGTGGCGCACACCTGTAATTCCAACGGCTTGCAGGGCTGAGGCAGGAGGATCTTGAGTTCAAAGCCAGCCTCATCAATTTAGTAATGCTCTAAGCAACTCAATGAGACCCTGTCTCTAACATAAAAGTACAAAAAAAGGTGGGGGGCACTGGGGATGTGGCTCAGTGGTTGAGTGCCCCTGGGTTCAATCCCTGGTACGGGGTGGGGGGAAGAGGGAGGAAGAAAATGCACCAACAGGCATAAGAGAGGGTTCTGCAGTCTGGCAGAAGTTTGGCCAAGCTGAGACTCTGTCAGTCTCTCTCTCTCTCTCTCTCTCTCTCTCTCTCTCTCTCTCTTTCAACATTTTGATAGTTGTCAATGGACTTTATTTATTTGTGGTGCTGAGGATTGAATCCAGTGCCTCACACATGCCAGGCAAGCGCTCTACCTCTGAGCCACAACCCCAGTCCCGGTTTCCCATCTTGTTAAGAAAAGAGACATTCTTCTCTCCTTTGAACAATATAAATCCATGTTCTCATTTGGTTGCCTTCGATTTACGAGGAACCAGCCGAATCATCTGTTGGGACTGAGGAATAAAGAATAGTTGCTGGATGGTGCTAACAGCCAGGGATTTAATGAGAATGAGTTTCTATGCAAATAAGTAAAAAATGGATTATTCCTGTGGTGGGAAACCCAGTGTCTGAGTCCAGAGGGAAGCCAGCTGAGATTTCTCAAAGTTGGTCTTGAGGACARTGACGATCCAACAGATATTCTGGTTTGCAGCTTGAGCGTCTCTGGTGATGGCATCCAATGTTCTGATGAGCCTTCTGAGTGACCCAGAGCCAGCAGCTGGTCTTCCTTTATAATCCCCAGCCACAAACCTTCTCAGTAGGAGGAGTGAAGTTTTGCAGTACTAGTTATCTGCTAGGAAGAATCCGGTCTCCCAGGATTTTCTTCTGCCTGTATTTTAGAATTTCCAAAGTCTGCTTAATTTCAGGAATCTGACCTTTTAGCCTCTTTTTCTTTTAAGCAAGTTTGAGTTCCGTAAATGTATACATTTGGTACTGTTCACCAGCTTCTTCCGTACTGTATCTGCAGTCTGCTCCTCAGGCTGTTTCAGGAAGGAATCTCCATCTTCCACAAACATGGCCTCAGGAATCCCCAGGTGGAAGCACAGCCTGTTCCCTGCAGCCACTTCTCCTATGCCAACCGGAGGCTAAACAAATTTAAGCAAAAATACCTGTCAAAAYAACTCCTATAGAGCCTGTATATATACTGTGTGCAATATAGATAGCATATAAACTGCACAGAGCCTGCGGTGGTGCATGCCTAGCTGACTTGGAAGGCTGAGGCAGGAGAATTTGCAAGTTTGAGGCCAGCCTCAGCAATTTARCAAGGACCTAAGCAACTTAGCTAGACCCAGTCTCAGAATAAAAAACAGAAAGGGATGGGAATGTGGCTCAGTGGTTAAGTGCCCCTGGGTTCTATCCCTAGTACCAAAACCAACCAACCGAACAAAAAACAACTGCTATAGAATGCCAGCTATTTCCAGTAATTGGGGATGAAGGAGCACATTTGGGGAGGTGGGGCTGGGGCTGGAATCCAAGGCCTCACTCATGATAGGCAACTGCTCTACCACTGAGCTATACCTCCAGCCCAGTGAAGGAGCTTTGAGATCCATTCAAGCTAAGAATCTTAGTTATGAAGTTCTTTCTAGCAAAGAACGTTACTGAAAACAATTTTTCTAGAATTGTTATCCACCGTGCTTGGTTTCGAGGTCTTATGAAATGTGTAAGTTGYTAGAAATGTGAAGTAGGCTGGCTGCTGGCGTGACCTCCAGCCAACTGTGCCCAAATGTTGATGGCTTCTGTAGTATAACATCGGATGTTCAAAATTTGATTGCTGGCTGGGTGTGGTGGCACAGGCTGAGGCAGGAGGATCACAAGTTCAAGGGCAGCCTCAGTAACTTAGCAAGATCCTGTCTCAAAATAAACAATAAATATGTTTGGGGTTGTAGCTCAATGGTAGGACAACCCTGGGTTCAATCCCCAGTACCACAAAATAATTTTTTTTKGTTTGGTTTACTAACAGTGTTAGTTAAATTATAATAATAATTCAATTATTTTGGCTAGACTTTAGGTTTATTTGTATATCCTAGAAGCCTGTTTCATGACAGCAAGCCTCCACTTTGGCTCTGGATTTTCACACTTAGACTTTTGGTCCAGTTGTGTATGGTGTGCTTTTAGTTAGAGAGGAGGGAGGGGGCAATCTAGATAGATCACCAACCCCAGCACTGTGTCGCTTGCTGAAGTCCACGGGTAGCAACTGGGAGCCAGCCAGAGCGCACTGGGATCCCCTCGACTTCCCTGTCTCTGCCCAGCTGGTGGGGGAGGCCAGCAGGGCAGCCCTCTCGGGAAAGACCATCAGGTCCGAGGGCCTGAGCCTCTTGCTCTCTTCCAGCCTTGCATCCAGGGACGTCCAAGTCGTCTTCTCTCCCCTCCTATGGCAGGACCACCCTGAGCCGGGTAAGGCCTCAGGGTCACAGGCTGGTGGGGGAGGCTGCATGCAGGGTGCTTCTGGGGGACTGAGCGCGGGGAACAGGGAGGCCTTCAGAGTGAAGGGGACCGGTGCGGAGCATCCTCAGCTTCCTCTGATCCCTCTGTGTCCTCTCCTAGCTACAGTCCACAGAATTCAGCCCTTCAGGAAGTGAGGCTGGAAGCCCAGGTGAGAAGCGGGCTGGAGAAGGGGGAAGGGGCAGCCTGCGGGTGGGGGTCTGCGTGAGGTGGCGGCTGCTGAGCTGCCCGGTGTGGAGGCTGCCCCACCTGGGCTGGCCTCTGAACAACACTCTTTTCTCCCACAGGCCTGCAGGTGAGTGCCCTGGAGGGGAACAGGCGGAGCGCCGGGAGCCAGGGCCGGGCACCTGGCAGTGTGGGGGAAGGGGGGTGTGGGGCCGCGGAGTGAGCTGGAGGAGACCGAAGAGGCCCAGGGTAAGGCTGGGAAGGTCTCCCTGCCCCACTCTGGCTCACTGCGGCTTTGGTCTCCCCAGAACGGAGAGGGCCAGAGGGGGAGGATGGACCGGGGGAACTCCCTGCCCTGTGTGCTGGAGCAGAAGGTGAGGGCAGGGGACCTGACCGCCACAGCGGGGTGGGCAGCGGGGGGGTGAGGCCAGGCAAGTTGGATGCGCTTGGGTCCTCCTGGAGATGGTCCGGGTGGCAGCAGGGGAGCTGYGGGAGGTGGATGGCGAAGTGGCATGAACTCCAGTGGCCTCTGCAGGTGGACAGGGGGCCTGGGGAGGAGAGGGGGAAACGTGGACAGGAACTTCTCTTGAGCCTCAGATGCCCTCCCTGCCCCCTCAGATCTATCCCTATGAAATGCTGGTGGTGACCAACAAGGGGCGAACCAAGCTGCCTCCAGGCGTAGATCGGATGAGGCTTGAGGTAGGCAGGGGAGGCCCTGGGGTGTGGGGCTGCCAGTGGGGCTCCTCTCTGGTGGGAGAAGACCTGGGCCTCTATTTGTGTCCCCTTAGTCCTTGGCACAGCCCCCACCCTGAGCTGCCTGTGTGTCCCCTCACAGAGGCACCTGTCCGCGGAGGACTTCTCGAGGGTCTTTGCCATGTCTCCCGAGGAGTTCGGCAAGCTGGCCCTGTGGAAGCGGAACGAGCTCAAGAAGAAGGCCTCCCTCTTCTGACCGCCTGCCCACCGTCTCCACGACCAGCCCCTCTCCTGTGCTGCTTCAGGGCTCTGGAGCTGGGGCCACTGGACCCCGAAGCGTTCTCTTCCCCTGGTGGGCTAGGAGCAGTGGGAGGMGGGGCACAAGCAGAGTGGGTTCCATTCCTCAGGGCGAGGGGGTGCCCCGGCCTCTGCAGTCCCAGAGCCGTGAGGCCTGGACTTCCTTCCCCACGATGGGCCGGGGCCTCCTTCTCTTGTCCCTGGTCCGCACTGCCCAGCCAAGCCCAGCACACACAGAGTTAAAGTTTGCACCCTCTCCCTGCCTGTCACCCCCACACGAAGGTCCCCAGAATCAGGTGAGGAGAAATGAAGGGTGTGCTAAGTGGTTAGACTGTCATCTGTCCTGCACAGTAGGTGGGATGAGGCCAGGTAGGGACAGCTCTGGGACCCTGTRTCCGCCTGCCCAAGCACTCCATTCCCTTCCGACAGCTCCCTGCACCTGGGCCTCCTGCTTCTCTGACTGGCAGGAGCAGGTTCCAGCGGGGCCTCCCACAGGGCTGTCTGCCTACCCTCCAGCTTGCCCTGTCTTCTATTGTGACCCCCAAGCTTTGAAGCCTCCTACTCCAGCCCCATGGCTTCCCCAGAAGCCCTGGCTTAGAGTGGAGATGCCRCCTATACCATGCCTGGCCTGCCACCAGCCTCGGGGAAGCCAGCCAGGGTGCCTTCTAGCACCTGCCCAGGGACCAGAGGAGCCCAGGCCCTGAGCCTCCCAGGAGGCAGGCTCAGTCCGTCTCTGAGAGTCCTGGCTCCCAGGCCCCGCCCATACCCATGCACCCCCCACCACGCTCTCTACAGAATGTAATTTATTGGGGCACCCCTGCTGCTTTCCTCACCTGACTCCCTGCCCTGCCCAGTCACGTGCCCAGCTTCCCTCCGCTCCAGATATGTATGTGTATATAATTATATATATATTTTTGCCCRGGTCTGGGTTTTGTTCCTGCCCAGACCCTGGCATTCCCTTTCCATGTGTGTGTGATCATGCTGGGAGGGGGGACTGTGCTTGGAATTAAAAGGTTGCATTGGGTCCCTAAATCTGTTCGTTCTCTGTGAGCCACCAGCCCTGGGAGAGAGGGACAGAAGCCGTGGGAGTGAGGGTTCACATGGGATCACATAAGAGTTGCAGTGGGTGCAGAGATGGTACCCACACTACCCTCCCTGAGCCCCAGGCCCCAGAAGCAGGGGTTAGGTCTAAGCATCTGCCTCCTCTCCGTTAGGGGCTCTGTGATGGTGGCAGGGAGGTGGCAGGAGGGAGACAGAAGCCTTAGTGTTTAGGGCTGGAGGGAACTTGAAAGGAAGCTTGAGATGACCACCTCTGTCTTCCTCCAGGACCCTGAGTGCTCACCTTGGCGGTCAGGCTCATCAGCATCAGACCTGATTGCACCTCCCGGGGCTCAGGGTGATTGCTGCTGTTCAGTGGGGAAGGGGAAAGGCGTGTGAGGGTGTGGTGAGCTGAATGTCAGGGATCAGGCAGGGCAAACAGGAAGCAGCGAGGGACAAGTGAGGCCATGGGAGGAGGCCGGTGATTGGCCTTGGTTGATTGGGCAAGGCCTCCCAAGGGACACAGACGTGGCATGGCCTGGCTGATTTGGTCAGATTTGGTCARAACATCAGAAGAAGACTTTAGGTGTGTGTTGAAGGGGGTCAGGACGGGCCTCCCCTGACTGGACATGCTACATGTGAGTGGGGGAAAGGTGGCTGGAGAGATGTCGAAAGTCGGACACCTCTAAGACGGGAGCTGGGCGTGACCCAAGGCCCCCAGATGACTCTCTAGACCCTTGGTTAAAACAAAAGCAAAGTAGGTAAGAATCACTCAAACTTAAACGATTATTTTCAATTCTAATTCTGTTGCATCCACAATATTGTTTTATCCTTTCAACAAACCAGTGAAGCTAACAGCAAAAATGGGAAAGTCGTAGGATAGATTTCATCTGAAGCCAGAAGCCACATGTAACCAATGAGTGGACGAAGGGGACAAATTTCCTAGTTTTCTGACTTTGATTCCTGTCCTGGGAATGGAGCCACTGAGCCACATCCCCAGCCCCCAGTTTCCTGACTTCCAATGCAGGTCTCTCCCTCTAAGGAGCAGTAGCACAGGGCAGGCAAGGGGGTGGACAGACATGTGGACTCCACATGTGTGTGCCCAATACCGGCATCCACTGAATGTGTGGAGGTTGCCCTGTGCTGGGCATTAGGGACACAGCAGTGACCAGGCCAGCACAGACCCCGTCCACATAGAGCTCTCAGGTTGTTGGGAAAAATGTCAAGGTCACTGAGCACCCAAGGGTGCCAGAGGTAGTGTGTGACAATAGTTAATGTGGGGGGCTGGGATTGTGGCTCAGCGGTARTGTGCTCGCCTAGCACGGGCCGGGCTGGGGTTCAATCCTCAGCACCACATTAAAAAAAATAATAAAAAAGGCATTGTGTTGTGTCCATCTACACCTAAAAATAAATATTAAAAAAATTAGTTAATGTGGGAATGTTTGCTGTGGGCCAAATCTAACACTACGTCCCAAAGGATTGAAGTGGCTGGTAATTTAGAGCTGCTCAGAGTGGGGTGCAGCCCAGGAAACAAAGGCTTACAGAGAGCCCATGCCTCCTCCACGCAGAGCACTCACACGGGTGGAAGACCGGGAGATTAGTCCAGTGCTTTCCCAAACTTCATATATATATTTAGTTGTAGATGGATACAATATCTTTATTTTGTTTTATTTATTTATATCCGGTGCTAAGGCAAGTACTCTACCACTTGCCACAACCTCAGCCCCTCCAAAACTTTTAATAGCAAAGCTCTTAAAAAAAAAAAAAGATCTTACTATAAGTAATTAGGAAACATAAGTTGAATTTTATAGTTAATTATGAAATTAACTGAGGACAAAGAAGCCATCTGATTTTTTTTTTTAAATGCCCAGTCAGGGGTTTTGTATGATAGTTGCATTTCTGTCAAACGCARCATCTAATTTATTATTGTGTTTGGTGGCACAGTATTGAGGAAATCCTGATCCACACAGATAAGCAGTTCCAGAATTGTGCTTGAACACCATGTGAGTGGATCCCTTCACACTCTTCCCATGGAGAGGCGGCCACCTCGGCCCTCTCCTTGCTTCTCATTTAAAGCAGATGGCTCTGCAGAGACCTGGACTCTTCACTCAAGTTGATAGGAGAAGTTTTATTCCAAAGTCCTCCCCCGAAGGAGCTAAGCTGGCTGCAGAATTTAATACCTCCGTGGTCTCTAACATCTTCGACTTTCATTGAAGTTTTTAAAAGCATTTCTAAAAATCAAATGGAAGGTTCTGGACTCCCCATGCACTTCCCTTATTCCCTGGAGTTCCTGGAAGCACAAGAATGGGAGAACAGCCAATCTGATCCAGCCAGCATCCTACATCTGTGAGGAAGTGGACCCACAAAAGTGCAGCAGCTGGGCTGGAACTCAGGTCTCTTGACTTCCTGGGTTTTTCCCTAAGGTGCCACCCCCAACACAAAGCAGCCCTTGCTTCCCCTAGTCCTTACACATTCTGGCCTATGATTCTCCTCGCATTTCCCATAGGGGTCCTCATGCAGGAGCCTGTCTGCAGCTGAACTGTTGGACAAATGTTTTTCCCAAGCAGCTGCCAGACCCTGACTCAGTTGTACTGCAGCCTCCACTTCACACACTGTCAACTCTGGCAGGTCTTGGTCTCCTGGGCCTCGATCTTACTAGGGGATGGAGCCCAAAAGGCTTCGCAGGGCCTGCGGTAAAAAAGCCAAGACTCTAAAGAAAGCTCTAGATTCTACAATTCTGGTAGAAGGCTACTCTCCTCTCTAGCCTCACTAGAGAGGAGTTTTGTTGTTGTTGTTGTGGTTTTGTTGTTGTTGTTGTTGTTGTTTGTTTTGGTACTGGGGATTGAACCCAGGAGCACTTTGCCACTGAGCCATATATATATATAAATCCTCCTGCCTCAGCCTCCTGAGTCACTGGCATTACAGTTTTGTGTCACCATGCTCAGCTCTAGTGGGACTTTTTATGTGTGTGGTGGGGTACTGGGGATTGAACCCAGGGGTGCTAGCCACTGAACTACATCCCCAGGCCTTGTTATTTTTTGAGACAGGGTCTTGCTAGGTTGCTGAGGGCCTGGCTAAATTCTGAGTCTGGCCTGGAAGCTGGGATCCTCTTGCCTCAGCCTGGTGAGTTGCAAGATTACAGGAGAGTGCCACCCTGCATGGTCTTGTGGGAATCTTGGTACCTTACCGGCTCCTCATATGATACCAGTGATTAATAGAATTACATTTTAAACAGACATCAGCCTTTTCCTTGGGAAGAAACTCTATTCCTGGGAGTAGAGGTGGTGGTGGAACTAGAAGGTCTATTCCAAAGGCCCAAGCTTTAGACATTCCAGGAAGCTCTGCTAATTGTTGAGGGTTCTGCCTGTGTAATTCTGCCCCAGCCCCACTAGGGATTGAACCCAGSGATGCTCTACCACTGAGCTACATCTCCAGCCCTATTTTTTATTTTGAGACAGAGTATGGGTAAGTTACCTAGGCAGGCCTGGAACTTGGGATCCTCTTATCTCAGCCTCTAAAGCACTGGGATTACAGGTGTGTGCCACCTGGCCAGGCCTGGCTATGTAATTCCTGGATRTAATTTCCCAGGCCTGTTCCCATACTGGAGACCCACCTGTTTTGTGTTTTTGTTTTCATTAATGTGGATTGGAAGGGTACAAGTTGTGGCTTCCTCCCTGGGACCTCTGGAGCAGTAGAAACATGATGGAACCACACATAGTTTTAAACACTTGCTATGCTTGTAATCCCATCTGCTTGGGAGGCTGAGGCAGGAGGATCGTGAGTTCAAGGCCAGCATCAGTAACTTAGGGAGACCCTTTCTCAAAAAATAAAAAAGGTTTGGGCATGTAGCTCAGTGGTAGACCACCCTTGGATTCAATCCCTAGTATTAAAAAATAAAGAAAAATAAAATAAAAAAGGGCTGGAAATGTAGCTCAGGGATAGAGTGCCCCTGGGTTCAATCTCCAGTGGGGGGGGGGCGGGGGGAGCCGGGTGAGTACAAAGCAACAAGTGTAATTAGTTAACAATATATTTTATTTAACCCAATATTCCTAACCCATTGCCTTCCCAACATGCAATCAACATAAAACATGATTAGGGAACTATTTAACATTCTTTCTCTTCCTGCCACACTTTCCGAGTCTGGGTGTCCTTGGCCTTGCGCTTCGGGCAGGACCAGCACGTCTCCGCCGCGCCACAGCCACAGGTGGCCGGGGCCACTCTGTGCGCAAGGCTGGGGCGCGAAGTAGGGCGCACACCCTCAATTCAGAAGGAGTTCTAGCTCCTCATCAAGGGACATCCGATCCTCCCTAAAGGGCCCTTCTTAAGGCCAGGTCGCTGGCGGTCACCGGCTCCCCAGGACGCCCGGTGGCACCGCACGGCACGGCTGCGCGCTGCGTGGCTCCGGCTGGCACCTGGTTTGTGGCACCGGATGCCCCCCGCGCGCCGACCTCAGCGACCCGGACCCGCCRGCCGCGCGCGTCCCCAGCCCGTGGGCCGGRCCGGGCCGGGGCGGGGCGCAGGGCCCGGCCCCGCCTCCGCCGCCCGGCGCCTCCTCCGCCAGCGCGCCGCCGCCGCCGCCCGGAGCCGGCCGGGCCGCCATCATGCTGAGCCGGCTCGGGGCGCTGCTGCAGGAGGCCGTGGGGGCGGTGAGCCGCGGGCCGGAGGGCGGGCGCGGGCCGGGCGGCGGGCGGGCGCGGGCCCCTCGGGCAGGACCCCTCCGCGGCCCGGCCGCTCCCGGGCCTCCCGCCGGGTCGGCGCCTCCGCAGGCGCAGGGCTCCGGATCCTCCCCAGACCGCCCCGCTTCCCTGACCCTGGCCGGGACTGCTTCCTGCCGTGCTGTCGCCCGCCACCGCTCTCCCCGTTCCCGACGCTGCGTCCCGGGGCGCTCCCACGTCACCACAGCTCCCTCCCCGACTCCCCCGAAGCCCCCTGCCCCGCCCCTGTCTGCTGCCCTCCCCTGGCCGTAGCCCCTCCGTCCCTCCCTCACCTGGGTCTGAAAAACGCCCCTTCCCCTCTTCCGAGCCCCGCACAACTCCCAACACCCTGATGGCGGTCAGGCCGTGGGAAGTACCGGCCCTGAGTGACCAAGTGTCCAAGACGCGGAAAGAAACAGTGCCCTCAAATAGCCCTCCGTGGGAGAACCCCGGTCTCCAGCACGCATCCCACACCACACGAGCCGAATTGACCCTGATCAAGGGAGGGGCCGGCAGCCCCTGGGTGGCCTGGTGTGAAAGAGTGTATTGGTTTTTCCCATTCTGTCAGTATGGGTGGGTTTTTTTCGCCATTTTCTTTTGGGACAGAGGGCAGGTTCCAGGCAGCCCCCGAGGGTTCACTTCATTCAGCCAGATAAAGTGCAGTTTAGATGGGGTGGGAGGTGAGCCCTCTCTTTAACGCAGCTTTGCCAAGAAGCTCTGAAGTTAGTTCTTGTTCTCCTAATGGTGAGTTTAGTGTATCAAATTGTTCTAGGAGAAACATACTTGGGTTGCACCCCTCTCCCCCAGAACCTGCTCCTCTGTCAGCAGTCATGGTGACCCTACCTTGGCAGACTTGTTAGGAAAGTGAGAACCTTCTACTCACACCCCACCCCTCTTTTTTGCTTCCCAGTCCCTCTCTGCAGGAGACCCTGGGCCTGGTCACCCCATGGAGGAGGGGTTCCAAAGTGGCCTTTCCTTTCTTTCCTATCTGTGCCCAGCCTCCACGGCTGTCATTTTAGAAAGTGATCTGATCAACTAATTCCACCTGTGGGAAAAGGTCTGTCTACAAGGAGGAAGAATGGGCAGGCCCACCTGTTCCTTAAAATGCAGGAAGATCAGGCATGGCTCTGGAGATATTGGGAGCAGATATTTTTAGGCAGGTAATCTCCCCACCACCACCATATGCAACATATAGATGGTCCTGGAAGTGTGGTCCTGTGTGATCCACTGACATGGAGAATCCCTCTCCCACTTTACCCCTTTGTTGGGGATCTAAGTCTTTCCCTGTGCTGAATGATTAAGTCACTGTGACCCTGGAAGAGTACCCCTTCCTTCCTTCTCCTGACCAGCAAGAATAAGAATCATTTGGGTTCTTTCTAAAACTAATATTTCTAAAAAGAAACTGTTTGGGGCAAGTTCTTTGGTCTGGCATTAGAGTAGCTAGTGACATTCAGGAGGCCTGCAGCTTTCTCTCAACAGCTTTGCTGGCTGGCCTGCCCAGCTCTCTTGGGCTTTCTGGTTTTAACTGAGTAACTGAGTAGTAGTATTTTTGGTTGAAGCTCAGCTTAAGTTTTTTTTTTTTTTTATTGTTGGTTTTTTTTTTTTTTTTTTTTTTGAGACTGTGAATGAAATTTGATGGAGGTGAGACCCCATCACAGAACAGATAATTGTGCTCTTTGGGGGTTCGAGGGCTTCCCAAGGTGAGGAGCTGTGGAGAGAGTGTTCTTGGGAGTTTACAGGGATAGGTAGTTTATGAGGAGTATTCCTTGGGTCTAGGGGGGCTCTCGGTTCAGCAGAAGTGACTTTGCAGTCCAGTGGCGTCACATAGACAGTAATAAGATAGAGTAGCTCATCGTGGAGTATTTGGAAGTCTGTGGGAGGTGACACTTCAAGAAGGGTCATGGTCCCTGTAGTCAACTGAAGGAGCACAAGATTGGGGCCAGGATGAGGAGTGCTTCAAGCTCTCCTTCCCAGTGTCCAGCTTTCTCCCCCTGACGCTCTGGCTCCTACGCATCCTTCCTGCCTTTGCCTGCTCTCCTATAGGAGGCTGTCAAATGAATCTTCCTCAAACACTGCTTAGAAGGTGGCATTGACCTGCTCCTAGCTGCCTGCAAAATAATACCCGGACTTCTTGGGTTGGCCTTGGAGACCCTGCAAACTCATCAACCCTGTCCTTCCCCAGATGCACCTTGGAGTTCCTTCTGGAGGGAATGTCTTCCTTCTCAGTCGAAATCTGACCTCRTTCAAGCTTGAGTTCAGGTGTGGCCTCAGTAAAGCCTTCCCTGTTCTGGCCTGTTAGATGTGACCCCTCTTTTGTGAGAGGCCCCTTTCCGTCTCTCCTGGAGCCTCATACTACTCCTTTGTAGTTTAGTTATTCATTGTGATTTCAGATCCTTTCTGTTTCTAGAGGACTGAGGCTTAGTCATTCTTGTGTTGTGGCAGCATCTAGCATGGCACTCTGCACCTACCAGGCTCTTAAAAGACACTGTGCAGTGACCTGACGAATGTGTGGCCAGCTCTGTGGAGCCGCATTCAGGCAGGAGTCCAGGACAGGGCTTTCTGGAGCTACCAGCCTTTTGCTGGGTCTTGCTGGGGGACCAAGGCGAGTGTAGAGGGACTCAAGGACCCCAGAGCATTGAGTGCCCTGGGCAAGAACCTAGAGGTTGAAAATGAGCACCTATGGGTAGGGACTGTTTGACACGCATATTCCTCCTGCAGACATTCGCTCTGCAACAAAAGAGGAATGGCCTTTTTTGGAGAAGTTTCCAGGGAAAGTGCTGATCACTGGGTCTGAGAACATGGAGATGGAGAGAGCTTTCACAGAAGAGGGGAGCTGAGGGGCTTGCTCGGAACAGTGGCCCAACTCTCTCAGAAGGCAGGGGCCAAGGGTAATCAACTAGGGGTTAAGGGGTGCAGCCTGAAACCTTGGACGAAAGAGGGAAACCCATAGTAGGCCACCTCTTCTGTGTCTTGCTGATGTGCCCTGTCCAGCTGAATAGTCTGTCATGGTGGTGAACACCGATTTTCTTTCTTTCTTTAAAAATATTTATTAGTTGTTTTAGTTATAGGTGTCCACAGGATCTTTATTTTTTATTTGTATGTGGTGCTCAGGATCGAACCCAGTGCCTCACGCATGCTAGGCAAACTCTCTACCTCTGAGCCACAGCCCCAGCCCTGAACACCGATTTTCATAACTCTGATTGAAGGGACCTAAAGCCTTGTCTTTGCAGTGTTTCCCACTTTTTTTTTTGGGGGGGGGATACTAGGGATTGAACTCAGGGGCACTCAACCACTGAGCCCCAGCCCCAGCCCTATTTTGTATTTTATTTAGAGACAGGGTCTCACTGAGCTGCTTAGCCCCTCGATTTTGCTGAGGCTGGCTTTGAACTCAGGATCCTCCTGCCTCAGCCTCCTGAGCCGCTGGGATGACAAGCCACCGCCTCCTGCTCTCACTTTTTATCGTTGCACGTGTTTTGGTTCCTGCCTGTGCCTGTCTTGTAGCGTGACCAGGTTGTGTTGAAGTGCTGTCTGTTTCCCCATCAACAGGCTTAGCTCCCCAGGACGGGGTGTGCTGGATAGGGACCTGTGGAAGGGAGGGGCCGTGGGGAGTGATGCCGGGAGGACCTTGGAAAGTGATGGAGACGGTGCTTGTGGGTCAGGGAGAGATGTTCCTCTTCTCTTTGAAAGGCTAGAGTGGAGTGCCTCTTCCAGGGCCTCGTGCCCACCAGACTGGCACATCGCAGGAGTGTGGGGTGTTTGTCCCTGGGAGCACCGGAGGCAGAGCTCATGGTTACGGAGCCCCACTGAGGTTGTGGCTCTGCTCTCTCTGCAGCGGGAACCCAGCATCGACCTGCTGCAGGCCTTCGTGGAGCACTGGAAGGGCGTCACCCACTACTACATCGAGAGCACAGGTGGGGCCGCTTCTCCCCAGCCCGGGGGCTCCTGGAGGAGGACTTGGTCAGAGGGTCACAGTGTAGCTGACATCCACTGCCAGAGTCGGGGCCAAGCCCGTGAAGACAGGGAACAGAAGGGGATACAGAGCCCTGGTTGCCTGTCTTTGTGGTGTGGTTGCAGACTGCATCCTCACCTTTTAGGAGAGGAGCTGTTTGCGGGATGAGCAGGGACATGGGGGTTGGGGATCTTGTTGGCCTGACTGCAGGGTGAAGGTGGCTTCACTTGCCTCAGCTTCCTGCTAGGTAGAACCTCCAGGCCTTTATCCCCCAAGTGCCTGTGCCTAGGGTTACTGGTGAAAAGAAACAGAACGCATTCCCCTTTCCCTGGGCCAGCCTAGGGACATGTCCCTTGTAGAGATCTGGGACAGGAAGAGAACCAAAACCAAGGTCTGGCCTATGCCTGGTCCTTCTCTTTAAGCTAACACCTTAGAGGGCCAAAGCCTTGGGTCATTTGGCCTCTAAGATCACTCACTGAGGGGCAGAATCTGATTGGTTGCTTTGTAGTCAACATGCCTGGATTGGTAGATGGAGAATGGTTGCCAGGTAACCAGATCCTGCATCCTTAGCTTTCCACCTCCCAGCGTTCAGACTGTGTGATTCTAGGCTACACTGTTCCTAAAGCCTTTTTTTCCAGCCTGAACCAGCCCAAGAAATCACAAAGTGGCCTTTGGGCACTCTTATGACCCTCTGTTAGCTCAGGGTTCTCAGTGTCGGCACAGTCGACATTTGGACAGTATTGTTCTTGTAGAGGGGAAATGTTTTGTGCAGTTTTGTCTGTAGAGCAGCAGTTCTCCACCTCCTGCCCCTCCATCATAACAACCATAACTGTCTTCAGACACTGACCGCCCCATACACACACCCAGTTGGGAACCACCCCTTTACAGCTCTCTTATCAGATCTGCATCCAATTTTTAATTTCCAAAATGGTTCCTAGACCTGAGGCATCCTGAGAGGATGAGGTAGGCCGCCTTGCCGAAGAACCTATTCTTTAGAGGAAAGCTAGGGGGTGCTCCAAGGCAAGTCCCAAAACGTTCTCTGTAAAAACCCAGCACCCTGTGAGGCTGACTCCTGAGGCCCCACCAACCAGCTCCTCCATGATGGTGGAACAGGTTGGGGTGGTGTGCAGATTGATTTATGCTTTGTAAAAAAACGGTGCTGTCCTTTGTGAGTGGAAAAGGGGCATAAACAGGCCCCAGGAGGTTGTCACTCAGGAAGCTGCTAGAAATAGCCTTGTATGTGACAGACCCCTAAGCCCTCAGCTGCTCACTCAAGCCCAGAGCAGACAGGCAGGCAGCTTCTAAAATGTCTTTCTGTGGGCCCATGATGTGTCCTTGTCTCGGATTTGGTAGGAAAATTACCCTGTGATAAAGTGCTGGGGCCATATCCTGGGCCTCATCCAAAAGGACTTTTAAGATATATGAACTGGGGCTGGAGATGTGGCTCAGCGGTAGCGCGCTCGCCTGGCATGCGTGCGGCCCGGGTTCGATCCTCAGCACCACATACCAACAAAGATGTTGTGTCYGCCGAGAACTAAAAAATAAATAAAAAAAAAAAAGATATATGAACTGTAAACTTCCATTTCCTGGTTGTCCTCAACCCCTTCCCTCATCTCCCAGGTGTGACCTACCCCTTCCGGGTTCTGCAGGAGAGGGTACAGTTTTTAAGCCAAATGCCCATTTTCATCCTACTCACCCTTGCTTCCTGAATCTCAATTAGATGAAAACACCCCAGTCAAGAAAACAGATATTCCCTGGCGGTTGAGGCAGATGCTGGACATCCTGGTGTATGAGGAGCGGCAGCAGGTGGCGGCTGGCGAGGCAGGGCCCTGTCTAGAATACCTGCTGCAGCACAGGATCCTGGAGACCCTATGCACGCTGGGCAAGGCCGAGGTGGGTATGCCCAAGGAGCCTCCAGAAACTTCCACTCTAGCCAGCCCCTGGATTCCAGGCTTTTCTACCCTGTCCCACCCATACTCACACACACTAAGGGTGAGTGAGCCAAAAGGAAAGGATTACTGTGGCTGTCTCACTTGGGACATCCCATCTCCTCCCAGGGACTCTTATTTTTATGCTCATTCAGCAAAGATATACTGAACACCTGAAGTGTGCCAGGCTGTGTTCTAGACACAGCAGTGACAAGAAGAGAGGAATCCTCATGGGTGAGGGGCCGGATAACTGTGTACAGTTGGCCCTTGTTATCCAAGGGGGATTGGTTCCAGGACCCCACTCCATCTCCCCTTGAATACCAAATCAATGGATGCTCAAGTCCCTTATTCTAGAAAGGGGTCCTGGATCCAGTGTTCCATGGATATACCAAGGGAGGACCATGTTTGCATATAAGCTATATGTATCCTCCTGTACCTTTAAATTGTATCTGGCCAGGTGTGGTTTATATACGTGTATAATCCCAGAGACTGTGGAGGCTGAGGCAGAAGTTTGAGGCCAGCCTGGACAACTTAGCAAGACCTTGCCTCAATAAATAAATAAATAAATAAATAAGTAAATAAAAGGGCTGGGGTTGTAGCTCAGTGGTAGAGGACTCCTGGGTTCAATCCCCAGTACTGGAAAAAAAAAAAGTCATCTTTAGATTACTTACAATGCCTAATACAAATTTAAGTGCTGGCTGGGCGCAGTGGCACATGCCTGCAATCCTAGTGACTCAAGAGGCTGAGGCAGGAGGATTGAAAGTTCAAGGCAGGACTGGGGTTGTGGCTCAGGCCCTGGGTTTGATTCTCAGCACCACATAAAAATAAATAAATAAAATAAATAAAAATAAAATAGTATTTAAAAAAAAAGTTCAAGGTCAGCTTCTGCAACTTAGCAAGGCCCTAAGTAACGTTAGCAAGACCCTGTCTCAAAAATAAATTGAAAGGTTTAGGAATGTGGCTCTGTGGTAAAGCTTCCCTGGGTTCAATCCCTGGTATCAGAATCAAAATAAATGCTATGAAATTAGTTGTTCTGCTGCATTGATTAGGGAATAATGACAAGAAAAATGTCTGTACATCTGCAGTATAGATGCAATGTGGGATTTTTGCATTTTAATAGTTTTGATCTAAGGTTGGAGGATGTAGAGGGCCAGCTGTAGTATGTTTGATAACTTCTCAGTTATGAGAAAACTAAGGCAGGAAAGGAGGTTGGAGCACAAGGAAGGCGGGTTTGAAACATCAGGCAAGGGAAGGACACTTTGTGAGAAGGCAGCCTCTGAGCTGAGATGAGGAGGAGGTGAGCCCATGGTTTTCTGGGGAGTAGCGTTCTGGGCAGGTAGCTGTGGCCTCGACTGACAGGGCACTCTGTTCCCACCCCCAGTACCCCCCAGGCATGCGGCAGCAGGTGTTCCAGTTCTTCAGCAAAGTCCTGGCCCAGGTGCAACACCCCCTGCTGCATTACCTCAGTGTCCACAGGCCTGTGCAGGTGAGGGGCCAGGAAGCCAAGGGGTGTCTGGGTAGGAGGCCCTCCTTCCCCACCACCCTACTCCCCTGTTTCTGCCCTGTTACCCTTCCAGAAACTTCTCAGACTTGGTGGGTCAGTCCCTGGATCCCTCACAGAAAAGGAGGAGGTGCAGTTCACCAGCGTCCTCTGCTCCAAGATCCAGCAGGATCCAGAGCTGCTCACCTACATCCTGGAAGTAAGCATTTCTGCAGAGAGCAGGAAGAGGAGGACCTGGAACCCCCTAAACCCTTTGAGCAAGCAGGAGAGGTCACAGGCAGCTTCTCTGTGACTCCAGGCTGAGGCCCTGTCCCTGCACTCTTAAGGGAGGTCCCAGGAGAATGTTCTCCACTGTGACCTGGCATCCCTCCTTCTTTGCAGGGTAAAAAAATCATCAGTAGGAAGAAGGCACCCAGAGAGTCTACCGCCCTGTCCAAAGACTCAGCCTGCCACGCAGACAAGGACCATTTCCACAGCAGTGCTCCTGACAAAGGATCCCAGCTGGATGGGGAGCACTGTGGGGCCCAGGCCTTGAACAGCCACCTGCCTGCTGAGACTGAGGGGCCAGAGAGTGGGACCGGGGAGAGCACCCTGATCACCTCCCTGCTTGGACTGTGCAAGAGCAAGGTGCTGGCCATAGAGATGACAAGGGTGGAGACAGGAAGGGTGGGGTGAGTTGCTAGGAGGCCATCTGGGGGTTCAGATGCATGTCCCTGATGTATGTCCCCAACCCCTTAGAAGAGTCGAGTGGCCCTGAAGGCCCAGGAGAACTTGCTGCTCCTGGTAAGTGTGGCCTCCCCAGCAGCTGCCACCTACCTGGTGCAGAGCAGCCCCTGTTGCGTGGCCATCGCAGAGCACCTTTGCCAGCTGTACCGATCCCTACCTGCCTTCCTCGACCCCGCAGACATCGCAGCTCTAGAGGGCATCAGCTGGAGGTAGGTCCTTGGCCGGGGAAGGCCGGTTTCTGATTTCTCTGGTTTTCCACATGGGATGGGAGTCCCTGCTGGCCACCTTCTTCTGGAGGTTACAGAGAATCCCCAAGGGCTTTGTCAGCCTTCTGGAAGCTTCACTTTTGCAGTCTTGATCACAAGGCCTGCCGTAGAACTGGTCCCAACAATAGTGGCTCCAGAGGAGGAGGAGAGGGCCCACTCCCAGCTGTCCTTGGGGAAGATCTTGAAGTTTTTCTCTGGCCCTCCAGACTTCCCACCTTCCGCTTCCCTAGGTTACCCAGTGCCCCATCTGATGAAGCGTCCTTCCCTGGCAAGGAGGCCCTGGCTGCCTTCCTGGGCTGGTTTGATTACTGCGACCACCTTATCACAGAGGCACACGCGGTGAGCAGGGGCGGGCCCAGCCAGGGCGCTCTCCCGGCTTCCCTTACCATCCCATCTCGAGGACAGGTGGAGCAGTGACTTGGTTGCCCAGGGCCAGGAGCCAGCAGGGTCCCTGTGAGCCCAGCCCCTCTGTCTGACATGTGGGCACTGTGAAGACAGAGATTCCCAGGGAAATTGTGATGGGTGTGAACACAGTGGAGACACACTCTTTGGCACTCAGGTGGTTGCAGATACCTTGGCAAAGGCTGTGGCTGATAAGCTGTTTGTGGAGACTCTGCAGCCCCAGCTCCTGCATGTGTAAGTATCTGTCCGGTTTCCTGGGCCTTGGCCCTGGTCTGCATCATGCCCACCGCACCAAGCCCCTTCCTGTCCCTTTAAGACCAGGTAATTCCTTGGCTAGAGTTGGGTCTGTGTACTTCACTGGTTAAAGTTTGCCAGGCTGCCCCTGACGGCACATCACTCTGAGCTACATGGGCTGAATGACAGCCTCCCACCCCAACTATATGACCTCAGTAGGCACAGGGCCACAACCCAGGACATATTAACCAAAGAAGTAAGGAGAGCAGCCGAGGGTCCTGCAGCACTGCTCCCATTCGCCCCCTGCCCCTGTGCTCTCTCCACCTGGCTCAGATCCCCCGCCTGGCTAAGGTGCCCTCTGCCCATAGGTCTGAGCAAAGCATCCTGACCTCCACCGCGCTGCTGACCGCCATGCTGCGCCAGCTCCGTTCCCCCGCTCTGCTGCAGGAAGCTGTGGCCTTCCTCCTGGGCCCTGACCAGCAGCCTGCAGCCCTTGAGGACAACCCCCGCACCCTGTGTTCACACCTCATCAGACACTGCGACCACCTCTCCGACGAGGTAAGACAGAGGGACGCCTGACTCTGCTCACCCCCACCCTGCCAAGGGGGTCTCCTGAGCACTTCTTCCCATCTTCATTAGCTTGCCCAGGAGATTCTGCCTCTGAGGCCTTGAGCCCCTCAAAGCAATGACAAGGTGATTGGCAGCTGAGCTGTTTTTGTTACCCAGTAATTTTCTGTGACAATATACTCTTCGTGTTGCTGTGTGTTACCGTAGTTTTCCCATTTACTTGGCTTGTTGGAGGCTTAAACCCTCTGTGATGTAGGGGAAGCTGATAGTCCCATTTTTTAGATGGGGAAACTGAGGCAGTGGCCTTACCTCTGATAGCACATCAAATAAGTAACAGAGCCTAGGGATATAGCTCGGTGGTAGATCTCCTGCCTGACATGTTTGAGGCCCTGGGCTCGATTTCCAGCCCTACCCCACCCCCACCACACAAGGTCACAAAATGAGAACTATACCCAGCTTTCCTGGTTCCTGGGCCACCCTCCATAAACTTCTCGCCCCAAAGCCTGCCGTGTTAGCCCCTGGCCACAGCAGTGACCCCTGCCTTAGAGGACTTTTCTTTATCTGGGCCAGCAGTTCCTAGACACTGAGGTGGGGGGCACCCTGCCATCCCCTCTTGCTCCAGATCAGCATCGCCACACTGAGGCTGTTCGAGGAGCTGCTCCAGAAGCCCCATGAGCAGGTCATCCGTGACCTGGTCTTGTGCAACCTCGACGGCCGTCTGTACGTGGCCCGGGGCTCACCGGAGCCCGAGAGTTATGAGGACACCCTGTAAGTACAACTGGGAGGCCGGGGGCTGCCCAGGACCCAGCCCAGCCCTCAGCACGCCCACGAGCATCCATTCATTGGTGCCTCCCGGGCGCTCTGGCTGCAGAGATCTGGAGGAAGACCCCTACTTCACCGACGACGGCTTCCTCGACTGCGGCTTTTCACCTTCTGCAAAACCTCGTGCCGCTCCTCCCACGAGTGCCCCTGGCAAGACGGCAGTTACCGAGATCGTCAACAGGTGGGGAGCAGGTTAGGCAGTCGGCGCCTCTTGACCGGTGTTCTGTTTTGGGGTCCAGTGAGCAGGGGAGCCCAGGGAAGCACCTCCACACCTAGGCTCTGTCTCCCAGTTTCCTCTGCCTGGTGCCGGAGGAGGCCAAGACCTCAGCTTTCCTGGAGGAGACTGGCTATGACACGTATGTCCACGATGCCTACGGACTGGTAAGTGGCAGCTCTGCAGTAAGTACCCCTCTTGTCCTTCCGAGGCCTTGGGTTGACAAACTCCTTTGGTGTCCTGCCCAAGGGGCCCCAGGACCATCCCTCCTGCATTGGGCCCCTCGGCTGGGCCCTTCTGGGCCTGCTTCTTCAACTGTCCCCCAACTCTCCTCCTTTCTCCTTCAGTTTCAGGAGTGTAGCTCCCGTGTCGCCCCCTGGGGCTGGCCCCTGGGTCCTGCACCCCTGGACCTCCATGAGCCCGAACGGCCTTTCTTTGAGGGTCCCTTCCTCCAAGTGCTGTTTGACCGCATGGCCCGGATTTTGGATCAGGTAGCCAATAGGATTGGGCCCCAGAAGAACTGCAGGTTGGGTCCTCTGAGTCCTTCAAGAGAGCAGGGGCTAGCCACAGGGCTCGACCCCCATCTCTGGGTCTCCCTCTCCGTGGCCCCTCGCCTTTCCCCAGGCGGGAAGCCCATCTTGCTTCTGCTTCACACGCCCTAACATGCTTTGGCCCTCAGCCCCAGGGAATCCATGACACACACACATCACGTGAGCCTCCCACCCCCGCACACGTTCACACCAGCCAGGCGCCTTGCTGGGGGAGTGAAAAAATGCTCACCACCCCCTGCCAATCCTCAGTATTGTCCATCTCATTCCCTACAGCCATACAGCCTGAACCTGCAAGTGACCTCAGTCCTGTCCCGGCTCGCCCTCTTCCCCCACCCCCATATCCACGAGTACCTCCTGGATCCCTACATCAACCTGGCCCCTGGCTGCCGGAGCCTGTTCTCTGTGCTTGTTAGGGTAAGAATGCTGGGGAACAGGAAGGAAGGGAGCAGGGAAGGGGGCTGGGGGCTGGACACCCTTGCCAGTCAGGGAGAGATAGGTCCCCCTGCTCGCCCCTATGGCACAGCAGGGCCAGGGGAGCCTGCAGAAATATGTCTGGTTCCCATCTCAGTCCTCTCTGGTTCCCATTCTAGGTGATTGGAGACTTGATGCAAAGAATTCAGAGGGTACCCCAATTCCCAGGCAAACTGCTCCTGGTACGCAAGCAACTGATGGGCCAGGTCCCTGGGGAGCAGTAAGTAACTGAGGGTAGTGGTGCCTCGGGGTGGGGAGGTGGAAGGTTCCTCAGGTTGGGAGCGTGTCTAGCCACTGGGTCAAGCCTTGATTTTAGGCTGTCATGCTAGGCACATGCCTCTGCCACCCAGCCATGTCCCCTATGCCATCTCCCCTCAGGCTGGACCACCAGATCCTCCTTCAGGGTGTGGTCGTACTTGAGGAGTTCTGCAAGGAGCTGGCTGCCATTGCTTTCGTCAAGTTTCCCCCACATGGTCCTCAGCTGAACCTCTCCCCACCCCCGGAAGGGCAAGTCTGAGCCAGGAGCATGACGGGCAGGTGAGGAGACTCCTGTCCAAACCTCTGCTCAGAAGCTGCCTCCTGCCTGGCTCCGCTGCCACTGCTCTCCTCTGGGTTGCGGCCTCAGCTCCCAGGCCGACTCTGGGAGGCCCTGACCTGTTGACCACATGGGCCAGGGTTTCAGGGAGTGGGCTTCTGAAGTGCCAAGGAGCGAGAGAGAGAGATGGCTTCCCAGGCAGTCAGGGTCCTCGGGCCTTCTCGGAGAATGTGAGTGGTGGCCAGCGAGCGCCCAGACCCTGACCCTTCGGTGTTATGGGACTATCCCCTCAGTGCTGTCCCTGTGTGGCCAAGGCCATGACCTGTGACAGATAACTCCATGGGCAATGGGGACTGAGCTCCTGGCTCCAAGGAACCCAAGCCAGAGAGATGGGGACCAGAAGCTCTGTCACGAGGCACCATGGAAGCTGCTGAAATTTGTCATTTTTTCTTGCCTTCTTGGCTTGAGCCGTGGAGAAGGGGCAGAGAAGGGGACTGTGGGGGATCCCCCTCTTCCTGCCCTGCCCTCCTGGAGACTGTTGCAAAATTCCCAACGCTTCATGGCACATGCCCAAAGCATGCTCCGCACCCAGGCGGGGGCAGCCACTAATGAGAACCCCAGAGCCGTGGCAGCCAGGGCAGGTGGGCGCCTTGGAGCTGGGGAGCCAGGTGCCAGTCCACACAGCTCCAGCTGCTTCCTCTTTGGCGCCTTCTGAACCAGTCTCAGCAGGTCCACAACACCTGGGCAGAGAGGTCAGTGACCAGGGGAGGACATCCTTGCTCTCCAAAATCCACCCCCCCACCCCCCCCACCCCCGCTCAATGCTCCCAGTGGAACAGCTGGAGCACAGGACCTCAGGGTACAGATGGGCAGGACACCTCTGCCTCCAGACCCCCGAGGCCTGGTGGGGAGGGGCTGAGGCACAGGCAGATGGTTCTGGTGTTGTTCTCCCTGTGTGCACTCCATGGCTGGGTCTGCTACCCCGCCCGGCCGAATCTGTCTCGACCTGCAGGAACACGGGCGTAGCCAGGCATTACCTCACCGCGGGACTGCAGTTGCTGGCTTCGCTCCTGGGCAAGGAGGAGCAAGCCAGAGCCCCTTTCGCTTCCTTTTCCTGCCCATGCCGCTTCTAGAAGCCTGGCACAGGTTGCCAAGAGGTGACATGAAAGAGGAGGGAACTCAGTGACCTCTACCTCTCCCGCATTCCTCCAGCGGGGGAGGACTCTTGCTGCTTGGAAGAATGCCGTGCACGTGTGCACGGGGTGTTGGTGTGGCAGGAGAGCAGACAGTGGCTGGATTGGGTCTGGACACAGATTCTTAAAATGTTGGAGGGTCCGAGAGTCCCAGGCCTCTCATCAATGCACTTTGGCATTTGCACGGTGTCTTCCCCCAGGTAGCACAGCAATAAACAGTGTGACTGCGTGGACACGATGGCTGTGTTCTTCTTCAGCCTTCTCATCCCCTACCCTGGCTTCTCTGCTAATTTGGGCCCATCTTCCACCCCTAAGAAGACAGGTTCAGTTCCTTTTCCAGCACTGGCGCATAGGTGGGTGGTAAATGGAGACAGGCTCTGGCAGCGCAAATCCAATATTCCTCCACACCTGCCAGGAACTACTCTCTTGGCTGAGCCACACGACACTGTTTCTATTCAGCTCATCTACAACAGCCTGCCAGCCTGGGAGCGACCAGGAGGGGACAGGCCACGTGGGAGTGCCTGGATGCAGGTCTCCTTTTCCTGGATTTGTTGCGTGTTAACTCTCGTAACTCTCATTTGTGAAGGGCGGGCCTGATATTTAACATACTTGTCCTTAGATGTGTTGAGAGGGGAGGGCTCCTCTGAGAGGTCACCAAGAGCATTCCAGGGTCAGGCAGGCAGAGAACTTAGAGAAGGGCCCTCCTGTGGCTCTCAACTGGGTGCACATTAAAATCACCTAAGCTGGCCTTTTTTCTTCTTTTAAACCCCTGAGCTATATCCCCAGACCTTTTTTTTTTTAATTCTAAGACAGGATTTCATTAAGTTGCTGGGGCTGGCCTTGAACTTGCGATTCTCCTGCATCAGCCTCCCCAATTGCTGGGATTATAGGCATGTGCGCACCTGGACCCTTTTTAAAATGCCAGTGCCCGGCCTGTCTCCCCCAGCAGTTAAGTCAGCTTGGGGATGGGGCAGAAGGGTATGGAAGTTCTCTAGGTGGCTCTCATGTGCTCCCCGTGTGGAAAACAACCATGCTGAATAGTGGGAGGAATATCACCGACTGGGTGTGGACTGGAGTGGCAGGGGAGGTGTCTCTCAGACACTCTGAGAGTGAACCAAAAAGGGTTTGGTTCATCATTCACAAGATGTGTCTCAGAGGGGCTGAGGATTTCAACCTCTCTCCAGAGGCCAGAGAGACAAGATGGCAGCTGAGAGAAGGCAGGGGCTGGGAAAGACCAGAGTTCCCCTGGGTAATTACCCAAAGAAAAGCCCATTCAAGTGTTCACCTGCTCGGAATCAGAAATCTACTCCTTGGATGTGGTGATCAGCACAGGATATGTTTTCTTTGTTACTTTGGTTTTCCCTTAAAGTTCTTTTATTTGAAAATACACACACACACACACACACACACCTCCTGCCTTGATTTGGCAGGAATCAGAGGAATTGAAGAAAGGGTTTAATACAGCTCGGGCTGAAAATATAAGCAGGCAGAGGCGAGAGGGAGTGGGTAGGCTCAGAGCCTGGGAAGCTCAGGCAGAGGCAGGGGCGGTATTTCCGGCTCCAGACCCACCTGCATCTTCCCAGGGTCCCAGCTGCTCAACTTCTGGAGGGGTCTGAGCTGTTTTCATGAAGGATGTGGCCCCTCCCAGTCACATCCTGCCCAGCAGGACAGAAGAGATGGCAAGAGCCCTGGTGGGCTTAGAGGTTGCAGTGAACAGCAGGAGGTACCAGCCCCAGCCACCCTGTTGGTGCACTGGGTGGAGGGGGGGACGCCTGGGTGGCTGTGGGTGGGACAGAGGAGCAGCAGTTCTCCTGAACAAGAGCCTCCCTCACTTCACCCCCCCCCCAGAGACATTTAGGCAGGAAAGGCAAGGTGAGCAATATCTATTTACTTGGCAAGAGGCCCTCCCTCAAAGGCCTCCCTACACCCTCCTTGAAGTTGTAATTGCTTGAAAGAATCAGCATGCAGGCCTTTACCAAGGTGGGCACAGAAAGTGAGGAGGAGATGCCATTTGGGGATCAGAGTGCTCCTCATCCACTTAGGGAGAAGCATCTGTGTACCCTCGAGGCAACTAGGTGCTTGCACTCTAGACTTGCTTAAAAGGCACTGTCCCTTTTAGGGCAGTGCAGGGGCCTGTGGCCAGTTCCACAAAGTTTCCCTGAGAATCAGGAAAACTGCCCCTGCTCTCTGTGCAATCAGACTGCCAGCTCCTGCCTGCCTTGGAGGGAGGGAGGCAAAGTCTGATAGAGAAGTCCTATTGCCCAGCTCTTGCTGGCACCTCCCTATCTATTTAGTGGGACAACAGAAGATTCCTGGAGCTTCTGTAGGAGCTGGGTTTGTAGGTCTCCCTCCATCACCTTCCACCAAGAATAGTTCTCACCCAGAACCTTCGGGGGCTCATCTTGGATCCCTGGGTTCCGAAAAGCCACCGTCACCAGCACATTCAGGCAGATGCCATCTGTATGTTCTTTGCCCAGGTGCTGCAATCCAAGCAGCCCCTTGGTCTCCACTGCCAAATTGTGCAGGGTCAGACACTCCTGTAGCAGCCGCAGGACAGCCACCTTGATGCCACCCCTCTGCTCCATGGGGGTAAAGCCACAGGCAGTGATGGGCAAATGAGGCATCCCCACTGTGCCCACCAACACCCACACTGTCTGTACATTAGTAAAGGTGGCCACCAGCCGCTGGCAGACCACACTGCAAGGAAGCTCTTGGGGCAGGATGAGAGGATGCCTGGCTTGCTGGCGGTACTGGGCAGCTAGCTCTACCAGGTGCAGAATGTCATGGGCTCGTAGTGGAGTGGGCAGGGAGATCCGTGGGTACCAGGCAGCCTGCAGGGACTCAGCATCTGCCTCCTTGGAAGTCTTGAGAATCCCACCTAGGGGAGATTTGGGGCACAGGGAGGGAGAAGGTATTAAAAGAAGCGTGGGGACTGGCAAAGTAAAAGAACGCCCAAGAACTCCAGCCCCGATCAGGGAGGCCATGAGCCCTCAGGCTGCAATCAGCCAGCACCAATCTTGTACCAGTCAGAACAGGGCTGGCTGTGGAAGGGCTCCTCTCACCAAAGGACAAGCTGGGGGAAAGGTGGCAGTTGGCCCCTGCTCACATGCCACCAAGTGGGCTGTACCTGTGGGGCGAGCAAGGAACACGAAGCGGATCCAGGAGGGGCCCCGCTCTTCCACCAAGAGCAGTGTCACAGGCTCACAGTGCAGGCCAGCCTCCTCCTTCACCTCCCGCTGCAGTGCCTCCACGATGGTCTCCCCAGGCTCCATTCTCCCCGCAGGAAGGTACCATGACCCCCGGCACTCCCTCTTGGCCTCCTGGATCAGTAGCACCTCATCCTGAGGGGGCAGAGAGAATCTTCACCCCCAACCTGGCTGGCAGTCTGGGGCTCCAGAAGAGTAGCCCAACAAGCAACCTTCCCACCCAGGAGTCCAAGTGGATCTAAAAGGTGGTAGCCCAAGACTCCCTCAATGGTGGACACCTTCAAAATGCTGAGCTGTCCAGGACACTGGCCCTTGTGTGGCTGGGGGCTACAGAAAAACTTTCTTTGTAATAATTTATGCCTCTGTGAATTCAGAAAGACTTCCATTTCAGCAAGGGGCTAAGATGCCTGGGAGCTGCTTCAGGGGCTGGAGATAAGGCCCTAGAATGAGGGTTCCACTTGTCCTGTACTGATTGGTGTTTATATATATCACAGTGTAGCTGTCACTTTCCCCTGGGGTTTACAAACAGCTTGTGGCCAGTCCCTACTCCGGGAACTGAGCTTTGAAGCTAGCAGTCACCCCCATCTCGTCCCATGTGACCCCTCCCTATGGCCTTGGCCACTTGTAACTGTCATTACATTGACTTGTACAGACATCAGCCCAAAAAAGAGCTCTCAGGGCGCCAGAGACCTGAGTGTAAGCGCCTCATTCCATTCCTAGCAGGCCATTAGAGGGTCCCTCTCCGTGTCACCCCATACTAGACTCCTGGGAGGGGGAATACCAAGGAGCTGAGGCCTACTGAGGGGGACCAACAGCTCCCGGGCCTCAGTTTCCGCCTCTGTCTATCGGGACAATCGCAGGGCTCAGATGCAAGTGTGACAGTGCTTTGTAAAACTGGGAAGCGCCACGCACAGTGCAGTGGTGGCTGCGGCCGTTGGCTCTCGGTCCCCACCTGGGCTGGCTGCGCGCTCCCGAGGCCCAGAGGAGGGCCGCGGGCGGACGCTCACCTGCTCGTTGAGGAACACGGCCAGCACCACGTAGCAGACGTTCTTCCGCAGCCGCACGGGCGCGGGCGGCTCACCGGCTGGCCCCGAGTCACAATTCTGTACGCGCAGCCCCTGGCCCCCCAGCACGGCCGCCAGCGCACCCGCCAGATCTTCCGAGGCCATCGAGTCGCCTGGCAGGCGGCGGCGGAGACCCCGCGGACTCCAGAGCCCGGTGGGCTGGACGGGCGAGTGTGGGCTCCCTCGCCCACGTCCCCTCCCCTGCAGCCTCCGGCCGGCGCGAACGCGGAAGCGCCCGGCGAGCCCCGCCCGCTGAGAGTCTGCGTGTCACCGCGGCCCGCACGGATTGGCCGGCCGGAGTCGGTCACCGAGGGGGCGGGGCCAGCCCGTTAAGGGGCGGGGCTCCGGCCCTGGGCGGTGGGGACCCTCGCCGCGCTTCTGCCCCCTTGCCGTTCCTGTCCCTCTCTCGGGCGGTCTCCCGCCGCCAACCCCTCTAATTCCTCCAGCACGCACTTAGTGCGGGTTCCGACGGTGACGTCATCCTGCCCGCTGGGTGCTGAGCGCCCGGGCGGCCAGTGGCGGTGGCGTCACAAGCCGATGACGTCACAGAGGCCGGGACCCGCCACTTGGACCCACTGTCCAACTTTCATCAAAAACAAATTAGGGCAAATTGCCCGAGATGATCACCTTCCAAATAACTTTCTTCTTACTTCGGTTAATTGTGCTAAATGTCAGGTGGCCCGTGGACACAGACTAATGCCTTGGAGATTCTGATCTAGTTGGAGAGATGGACACAGACATTTCATAAAAAGTCAACTGAGGGTCATAGGCTAAGTGCAAAATCATTGGTTTGGGCAGAAGATTTGCCAGACAGAGGCTCAGAGGAGGGAGAGGGCAAGACTGGGATGGTCAAGGTGGGGCAGGGGTGGGATCGCGAGGCAGGGATTTGGGGCGGAGAAACAGTCTGGAATCAGCCGCTCAGCCTTGTCAGCAGGCCCCAGCTCCCCGCATTTCCTATGCCGTGTACTCGGCCTCTGCTGCAGACTGAACCCTCGGAGGGTACGGGCGGTGCCCTCCCACCCAGCACGCAGGACCTGGCGCATGGGGAGCAGGGTGTGGGTTGTTTTGGCCAGCTCCTGCTTCTCTCCCAGCCTGACCTTTCCTCTTCAGAGCTTCCTTTAACCTTCTCTCAGGACAGGAAGGCAGAGCCAGCTGGAAGGAATCTGCAAGCAGGCCAAGGCTAGGCTCCGCACCCCATCTATCCGCCCCTTCCCTCCTCTCCCCTGCTGGCTTTGTACACCTCCCTTTTGAGGGGCAGTGACTTGGTGGTGCTAACAAAACTCTGGACTTCTGGATGGCTTGCTCTGGTGCCCCTGGCTGGGTTGGGCCTCAGTTTCCTCATCTTTAGAATAGGGTCATAATAACCCTTGGTCCACAGGGTTGATGGAAAGCCAGGACATCTTGAGAGGAGTTACGTGACCTGCCCAGCACTGGGCACCATCACCAGGCAATCCACCAATGCTCCAGCTGAGTCCTTGCAGCCATATCACTTGTTACTCCTATACAAAGACCTGGCCTCGTGAAATGTGCATCTATGGCTGCCGTAGAGCAGGTCTTCACTCTCAGGAATACCCGACCTCCGTGGATGCTTCTTACATATTGGTGCTGATTGCAAGGTTCCTAGAGGCAGGGTGCTGTGTTGGCATGCCTCATGGGCTCACAATTTTTGGAGGTACTTRCTGAACACTGCTAGCCCCAGCTCTGAGACCTCTCACCCCACAAACATTTGGACTTATGGGGCAAAGTCAGGACMCCAGGGCAAAGTCAGCAGCTTGCCAAGGCGCGTTTGCTGTATTTATATCCCTCAATTTTCCCATCTGTGAAGTGGGGGCAGCGTTGGTCAGAGACTCCTTTCTGCCTCCCAGGGATGATTTGAGAGAGTGAGGTCATGTCTGGGCAGGGCTCTGTGAGCTTCAGAGCATCCTAAGATAAACACCAGGCGCCCCAACTGCCTGGAAGAGCAAAGACAGCCACAAACCGCATGTCCACTCCCCCACTGCCATAGGGCAAGCACTTCCCTCCTATTCAGTGGGCCTCATCAGCCCYATCACAAGTCACACTTGAGACAAGCCAAAAAAACTAAAAAACTAAAAAACCCCTTGTAAACTTTATTGTTGTTGTTGTTTTATTTTGAACCAGGGATTGAACTCAAGGACACTTAACCATTGAGCCRCATCTCCAGCCCCTTTTTTATATTTAAAGTCAGGGTCTTACTGAGTTGTGTAGGGCCTCTTTAAGCTGCTGAGGCGGCTTTTTAAAAAAAAAATTTTTTTTTAGCTGTAGATGGGCATAATGCCTTCATTTTATTTATTTATTTTTTCTGTGGTGCTGAGGATCAAGCCTGGCGCCTCACACATACAAAGCAAGCTGTCCGCCACTGAGCTACAAATCCAGGCCAAGGCTGGCTTTGAACTCTCAATCCTCCTGCCTCGGCCTCAGCCCCTGGGATTACAGGCAGGTGCCCCCATGCCTGGTGTCTCGTAAACTGTTAAGGGTACACAGGGTGGAACCAGCCCTTCCAGGTCTGCTAGAGAAGACAGAGGCGGTGCTCCTCACAGCTTTGGGAAAAAGAGTAGGAAGAGCAAGGGAGGGAGGGAAAGAGGCTGACACAGGAACCTCCAWGGCCTCCGCAGTCTCCATTCCCAAAGGGGAAAACACTGCAGAAGTAGGAGGCTGCGCAGGGGTGGCCTGACGGGAGTGAGACCAGAGCCAGGCAGGAGAGGGCATGCGCACGCACGTGAGTGTATGAGCCCATGAGCAAAGAGGCTGGGGGTCGTGGTCTCCTCTGGGACACGGGACTGAGATGAGCAGGCAGTGGGGGACAAGGGTGTCTGTGACACTAGAGATTACAGAGCAGCAAACCCTGTTTCTTTTCAGAACAGGGAGGGTGAGGAAGTGGCCCAAGCTACAGGAGGAGGAGGAGGAGGTCTGGCTATAGACACTGGCTACAGAGTGGGCTCTGCCACTCCCCACATGACCTTGAAGGAGCCACGTCCACCCGCTAGGCCAGCTGTCAAAGGAAGGCATTGTTGGATCCCAGAATAGAAAWGTCATGTTAATGGCAAACCTGGTGAAATCCCAGGGAACTCTGTTGCATTGCTGGTGGGCTGCATCAATATTAATGTCTCCGTTTTGATAAAGACACATGTTTATGTAAGATGTTCGCGTTGGGGGAAGCTGGGTCAAGGATGACTGGGAGCTGACTGTGCTCTCTTTGTGAYGTGACGGCAAATCTAAAATGATTTCAAAATAAAAGGTCTGAGGATTTTATAAGGAAAAAGGGGAAGCAGGCCTCAGATGAGCACACCCCAAGTTCACTTCCAGCTCTGAGACTGGCGCATCTGTGGTGTGTGGGCCAGGGAGAGACTGAGGACAGAAGGTGGACAATGAGCTCCCGACCTCAGCCAAACAGAGGTCCCAGGGCCTCTGTGGGGGCACAGTGCCAGAGTACCCCAGGCCAAGGCTCAGGGTCAGTCTCCAACTGAGCTGGCTCTATTCCCAGGACTACTCCTAGAACAAATGGWCACACATCCACCTGCTGTTTACAAAGAATCGGACCACACAGGACCCCGAGGTGCTGGAACCCCCCGTGGGAGAGGAATGAATGTCAGAGGACACAAGGTCTTGTGGTGAGCCCGTGAGCAAAGAGGCCTGGGGTAGGGGGTCTCCTCTGGGACCCAGAACTGAGATGGGCAGGCAGGGTGGCGGGGAGGGGTGGGGTGGGCAGGCAGCCTTCCCTGCTGATGAAGTTCAGAGCAACATCTTTCCCAAGAAGGACCCTATATTTTGGGTCCTGGGTTGACACGAGGACAGGGGTAGAGAAGGTGAACTATAGGTAGGAATGTGTCACTCAGTGCTACTTGGAACACAATCAGCTATAAAGTGTATATTTTCGGAGAGGACAGAGAAGAGGGCAAGTTCATTTTTAAACTCCAGGAAGGTCTAAGACTATAATATAAACGAAATGACCTGAGTCAGAAAACTTGGTTCAAATCCCAGTTCTGTCGCTAAAATTGCTGTGTGACCTTGGGTGACTTACTTAACCCAAACCTGCCTGTTTTTTTTTCTTCTGTAAAATGGAAAGAAATCATATCTATCCCAAAATAGTGATAAGGGATTAAATGAGATCATTTAAATGAAAGAGATTAAATATATTCAATGAAAACAACAGTACAGTAAAATATAGGAGTTCCTAATTTTTTCTTTCCTTTTCTTTTTTAATCCCAAGAAAAAGTGAAAATAACCAAACCCTCCAAACAATGAACAAACCTAACTTTTTTTTTTTTAAATGAAGGATGGTTATATAAATCATGACACAGCCGTTTGGTGGAATATAAGTAGCCATTTAAAATGAAGGTTAGGAAGCAACATAGAAAAATGATCACAACACAGTGTTCAGAGAAAGAAACCAGGTACAAAACACACCAATTCAACCACGTCCACAACAAATCCCTGGAGAAACACGCACAAACACTCAATAGAGGTTGGGTTGGGATGAGCAGGGGTGGGCTTGCAGGTAACTTTCTTGTTTTCTAGAATGTTCCGAAAGTAGGTTACATTTATAATAAAAAAATTTTATTTATTAAAAAAAAAACAATCCCCGAACCACAGCAGGAACAATTAAGTGTGACAAGAGCTGGCTGAGATACACAGGGGAGGGCGGAGGGAGAGCCACACCAGAAGGGCCAAGGGAAGGGCGGGCAGGGGCGGAATGGCAGTGAAGCTCAGCCTTGGGCACTGTGGCCACCAAGGGCAGTCAGCTGGGCAGGGCTTTCCTGGATTTCCCTCCAGGTCAGGGCAGACAGAAGAGGAGCGGTGGGGAAGCTGGGGGTTTGTTGGGAGCAGTGGGGCTCCAGAATCCACAGGCCAAAGCTGCCCAGGGAGGCCACTTCAGTGCTATGCCCAGGACTGTGTCTCGCCTGCTGTCACAGTCAGGAGCATTTTCAGGGGGCAGCTCCCCGGAAAGCTCCAGGAACCCAGACTCCCGGAACAAAAGCAGGCAGTGGTATTTGAGGTCCCTGTCACTGGGTCCCCAGTCCCCACCTGCCCCTCTCGGCCTCTGCTCTAGAGCACATTTCCTTGTCTCCCCTCCCTCCCTAGGCCAYGTGGCCTGAGGAGCAGGGCCAACCAACTGGCAGCAGTCACAGAACAAGAGTCTAATGGAAATCACGAAGGCCGGAGGAGGGGGCAGGGGTGGCATCACCGGTGACCTCTCCAGCCAA